AACGATAATGATTATTAAATTGTAACCGTAAAGCAACGAAATAATCGCATCGCATATATAAATAAATTAAAAGTTACAGCCTATATACACGTCCCACGGCTGGGCACAGGCCTCCTCTCATTTCTGAGAGGATTTTAAGGCAAGGAATTGTCCGCAGAAGAAGCACGAGAGTAAAATGAACGCAGTAGAAATGCGGTCGTTAAGAAGTATGTTAGGGCTGAATCTGAATGACAGGGTGAGAAATTGTGTGATAAGAGAAGAGTGTGGTTTGCAAGATGATGTTGTGACCAGGATTAAGAAGGGAATGCTTCGGTGGTTTGGTCATGTGGAAAGAATGAATGAGAGATGAATGAGCAAAGAGTGACAAAGAAAATTTATGTTGCGGAAGTTAATGGCAGAGTCGGAAAGGGACGTCCTAGGCGAAAATTTATCGACCAAATTGGCGATTTATAGAAAACGGGCCAAATTAGGAGTACCCTTAAGCGACGAGCATGTATGCGTAGGTATATGGATGTGAAGGAGACGAGAGAGGTGTGTCAGGATCGTGTCAAATGGATATCTGTAGTCTCCGCCTACCCCTCTGGGTGACAGGCGTGAGTGTTTATGTATTATGTAGTATATGTTAGCGAACAAGACAGTTAGACAACAAGCAGTTATATTTAAACATATTTTTAATATATTTCAACAGCAGTTATATTTGAAAACTCAACATACAGAGAAATAGATATATATATATAATATAATACACAGAAAAGCGTTTTAAAATGTAATATTACTAAAAAGCAAGTGGATTTATGAACGGCCTAGTTAAATGGTCCCCATGTTTTTACAATAAAAGCATGTTTGCGTCTACATAGGTGTCTACATGTTGGATGTATATTTTTTCCTCCATTAATTACTGAAAACACTGCAATATTCTGTAATGTTTATATGAATACATTTATTATTATTGAATCAATTCCATATGCGATTATTAAGTTGCATTATATCGTTATCAGGCAAAAGACCGTAAATGTTTAATGGAGTGCTCTTTCTATTTATATATCTATAAACAATAAATCTCTGGACGGCATTCATAGCGTCTCACTGTTACTACTTGCGTTATGTTAAAGTTACAGCTTATATACGTCCCAATGCTGGGCATAGACCACCTCCCATTTCTGAGAGGATTTTAGGGCAAGGAAGTGTCCGCCACGATGTCCCAATGTGTTCTGGCGAACTTCACATGTCTTCGAGTTTTTTTTTTTAGTAAACATGCAGGTTTCCTCACGATGTTTTCCTTCACCGCCGAGCAAGTGGTAAATCAGCACTTAAAATTGCAATTAACAATTTCATTGGTGCCGGCGGGGATCGAACCCGGGTTGTTCGCGTAATGTAACTTTACAGCGAGCGCTAACCATCTGAGCTACCACGGCTCTAGCAAGTTAAACACGCACATAAAGCAATTAATCAAAGCAGGTGGCGACGTAAGCTACCGTGTAGAGGCGTTATTAGGAATATCCAGTCCGCCATCGTCCCGTAAGTGGCGTGAGAGGCGACAGAGTGAAGCAAACCAGGATATGGGCAGCAGCGTATTCCTAATAAAAACTAGAAAATAAAAACTACCCACGCGCCTACCAAGCGTGGCAGTTATGGCAAATATCCTGCCTATGAGGAAGGTATATTAACGATGGCAGCGTAAAAAAACCCATCACCCCATTTCGTCGTTCGTTAATGTCATAAAAGGCGCAGGCAACGGTGTACGTAGTTAGTTTCTATAAGTTGATTTTGAAGTGTTGTTAGTTGCCAAAGCTTATTTGCTATTTTTTTTAATTAATATATTAGTTATAGTATACGACTTTGTGTTTCTCCTAATTTTGGATTTATAGGGCAGCAAAGCATAAGGTATATTACGCTCATGTACCCTTATCAGAAACCTTCCTTTACAATATATCCACAAGCAATAACTAAATAATTCAAGCCACGAGATTACAGGCCAAAGTATGAAATCAAACGGAATAGATATGAAAATTACTTTACTCAGAGCATTATTAACCAATGAAAATACAATTATACTACTTTTTGAAAACGCTTTATCAACCGCGTCTTAAAAAAATATACTTGCAATTTGTGTTTAATAACATACACATGCAAAATGGTTTTGTAGCCCCTAGCTTAGCACTAGCCCATTATTATTTTAAAAGGTTAACATTGAAAATTGTCTAAGTTTTTTTTAAAGGAAAGAGGGGAATGAAACGTATCGTTCGAAGGGTACTGTACGTACCATAGATGTGCAGAATAAAATAATTATATATTTATGTCGCCCTTAAGGCAGGTAATATAAAGTAAAAATGCGCCCATAATTTTTCGCGTTTGTACGCTTTAATAAATTCAATAAAAGCGTTTTTATCACATTCATGGACGTTTATTGTGTAATAGGTCAAATATACAGACAAACTATAGTAATGAGATTTTAAAAGAACTTACGTAAGAAAAAATACTTTTGAACTTCATTCTACCAACCTCTTAAAAATCAGCGGCCTACCACAGGAACGTATACAGACTGTAACTTTACTATCAAATGTGACCGATTGCTTACGTAATCCCCGCAATGACAGTACCACTTACTAATACGAACTAGGCTGTAAGGATTCGTCTTCCTTTGCCAAAAGGAAAAAATATTAACACGAAGAGCACTCCATCACAATTTTTAAAAAGAACTGCATCTGTCATTAAACGAATTAAGTATTGATTTGATAAACACAATAATTACTTACTTACATTAAAATAATTATAATTAAATAAATACAGGGTGTAAACAATTGCTTGTTCTAGCAACAATATATTATTTCTACTATTCCGATAAAATTTCACTCCATTTCATGGACAAACAATCCCAATTTTATACAGTTTATAGCAATTTCTTACACCTTATACTAGACTATATACAGTGTTACGAATATTAAAATATCTTGTTTTTATATAACCTCTAAAGCAAAAAGCGATTCTACTATAAGCGAAATCTGAAAATAATACAACTTTGACGCGATACCAGTTGAGAGAATTATATTATTGCTTATGAAGCCTCAACGGCTTCTATCTTATATAAATGCAGATTAACTAAAATAATAATAATGAATAACTTTTTAATGTATACGGGTAGTAGAGTTTACATAGATAATAGAAAATGATTGACGGATAATACTTTTTGCTGATTATTAACTATGATAAAAAAATATCAAGTTTTTATTTTATTTAACGTACTAACTGTCTAGTGTCTATCATAATGTCACCTGAGGTTTGATAACACCATCATTCTCTTAAATTATTATCTTTTACTAAAATTATTTCTTTAAAATTTAAATAAACGCGTTATTTTTTAATAAAATCACACTGTTTTATTAAAGTAATGGCACAAATTTGAAAAACCGAAATATTCTCTCAACTTGTATGGAAGTCGACATAATTCTTATATTTGATAACGTCATTTCCCGTAACGGCACCGCAAATACTCGTTGCGATATCGCTTCAGAAGTAAATAATACGTTTAATAATTAAAGCCACTGTAAACGCTCATTACCGATTTATTTAATACATATTTAACGCACCGAAATACATCTAATATAATATATTTATCAATAAATATGTATTAAAGTAACTATCATATAATTAAAAGTTGTTGCAACCTATTTTACTTCCATATTCTATACAATTCAAACTCGACACATTTCATTTCAAAAATATTCCAGGGGAGTTCTTCAGTGAAATTGAAACAGACTCAATCAACTTATCACTTATTCGTGACAAAAATACTTTTTATTAATTTTGAAATTGGAATGTCAAAATTAATAAAAAGTTAGATTTTTAATATCTTCAGTTATTGGTACTAACTACAAAGGATTTTATTACAGCAAATAATTTTAATAATTTCGTATTTCTGTTATATTAAAATAAAGTGATGATGTTAAAAATAAGTTTCTGATGTGAGAAAATGGAACACTGTATAAAATGGAATTATGTGACTAAACATTCAACTTAATACATTGCCTTAATACAGATAAATTGACATCGATTCATATAATTATTAGGATTGCTTTGCCTTTATATTATAAATTCGTTGTTTTTCTTTTTCTTCATATACTAGTGACCTTTTTAAGGTCTGGAAAAAATAGGGAGTAACTTGTGAACGGAGTAGAAGCATGGCACTGATATTTTACAAAAATTAAAAAAAATTTTTTCTAACGTTTAATTCAAAATTTTTGGTTTCCTTTTTATAAAATATCAGTGCTATAGGCTGCTACTCCGTTCACAAGTTACACCCTATTTTTTCCAGACGGTAAAAAAGGTAATAGTAATTTCAAATTTGTGAAACACTAGTACTTTTATATTGCTTCATATAAATTTTGTAGCAACTTAAATTAAAAAAATATATTTCACTTTATTTGATACTCGGTGCCCATCATGTATCAAGCAAATAGCAAAAAAAAACAATTTGTTGACCATATTAGATTCATAATGGAAAGGTTTACTATATTATAGGTTTATTATATATTTTTACAGAGGAACCTACAATCGTCAGTTATTTAAGTCTGAGTAACGAAATACAAGAAAAAATAAAGCCGCATACACATGAATTTATCCGCGATAAAGTTAAATGTACATGTAAAGCCGGTAATTTAAAATACACAGATGACATTTTTTATAAATCGAGACGCGTTGTTACGCACCACTTCATTTGGTAAAAGTAAGAGTCAGATGTTTTTCCAACCCTATGTGAGAGAGTAAAAATGGAGTGAGCTCAACGTTTAGCGATAGCGCTATTGACAAATATCATCAGCGTGATTGTTATCGGGATTTGTGAACGTCCGAGTCCGTTGGGGACTGCGGGAGGTGCTGGGACTGCGGGATGTGTGGGAGGAGTGGGAGAGGCGGGGGGAGTGGGGGGAGTTGGGGTAGCGGCGGTAGCGATGCGCTCGCGGCAGCAGGTGTTTGGCGAGGGTGCGCAACGCATGGGCTGGCCCTCAGTCAACACCCGCGAAGCCCTGCGAGCCCTCAATTGCCTTTATCAGCTTCTCACGCAGCTGTTGATAGCTATCGTACGGTGGTAAGTCAATCCGGTTGAAACTGAAACAATATTATACGAATTATGTTTGAATAAAAAAAATCCCCCCAATTCGAATTTTATGAAGGGGAGCGCTCATTTCCTAGTCTAGTATTTTTAGTATTCAAATAGTGCGAAAGATATTATAATACACATGATGTATTTCATGTTCCAAAATTATAAATCAGTCCTCAGTGGTGACAACACACCAATAGTTTTGTTAATTCTGTTGTCCATGGACTAAAGAAGCCACTTGCCATAAGTATTTTTTTAAATATATTATGAGCTTGACATACCAAATAGATTAGTTTATTATAATATTAAAGTAATTAGATAACATTCACGGTTGTAAGAGCTAAGAATCATTTGCCTTCACTGCATGGGAAATGATTATAAAAAAATTACGTGTGGCACTCGGTGACTGCCGCGGTAAAGCTATTGCATAGCATTTTTATCTACTTATGCAATTATAATTATTTATTTATTTTATTTATGCAGTTAAGTCTTTGATATCAAATCAAGTTACACTTTTTGAGCGTGGTGACCGATAAGAAAACAATTTTTTTCTCTTATTGAATAAATGAGAAGTTAATATTGTTTAAAATATTTTTAATATCTTACAATACATGTAGGTTATTCAGGAATTTTATTATTGAGTTAGCAGCTAGTGTACACGCACACAAACACCGTGCCGAAGTCTGCCGAGTGCCGAAGTCTGCCGAACTAAAACGACGTTAGACGATGCACGGCTTTCAACGCCACACCTCCGTGCCCGTCGGAGTGGGGAGCGTGAGGTTTTTTTCGTTACGGAATTTCTGGATTCGGTCCCCGCGCTCAAGGCCCGCCATAGAAGCTATGCAATAGCTTAAAAAGTTATATAAACCAATACTTAGCACTAGTTTCGTACAAATTATTGAATTTCGCCCAAAGGTGATACCACTTATTGTTATAAAACATAAAAATCGTCCTTTATTGCTCTCTCACATACGTATATCCCCTCCACTTTACAGTATACACTATCTATGGGCTTAAAAAGAAAAAACAGTCGTACAATGTAAATAACGTTCTTTTAAGGCACAATATTTTTATATTAATACTTCGGACCAACTAAAAAAAGGTAGACGGACGCTGCTTAAATTTCAAGTGATTCGGAAACAACAAAATACTCGACTTCTTGTAATAACACGAACACACATGTGTCTAAAATTATTTGCAACCTCAACATAATTCGATTGTATACATAATATATGCGTCCCAGAAGTGAACGTTTACAGGCTGTTAATGAAATAAATATAGTGTGGGAAAGGAGTTGGATCTAGTCAGCTTTAATTACTTTGAATGATTAATTTTTTTAATCTTTTTTGTTCGAAAACTCAAAATTAGAATTTTGAAATAAGTTTTATGTCATGAAAATCCCAGTAAACGTAATGTAGGACGCCTCTCTGCTAGACAGAGTGAAAATCTACACATGGCAACGGTTGGATTAAGCTTAAAATGGATCTAAGTAGCGCTTCAGAAAAGACTCTTTATCGCGGCCTCCATGCGAGGAAAACGGATTTAGAATATTAGGTTATTTATTACCAACTTGGATCCAATCAATTACAGCTAAAAGTTTACTGTTGAAAATAGGCCTCCCCCATTGACTGCCTCATGGGAGGATTTTGCCATTATACTCTCTTGTTGACAATCGCAGATTTTATAATCATAAATTGTTATCATAAAGATGCTACTGCCATCTCCTGTTTCAGTGTCTCCACTGTAGTCTCTTATACGGGTACTTGGATCCAATAGTAAACTTGAATCCTTGGATAAGAAGGGAGACTTCGATTACAATAGTTACATTTAATAACTGTGACTTTTGATGATATTGTTTTCACTTTCTAAAAACATTAACCCAAAAAATTGGATGCTTCTACAGGACATCCCCGGAACTTCTCGCTAATTTTAATGTCAAGGCGCTCTAAATTCCACTTATTCTCTCTTCTCTTCGAGCTCAAAAACGTCATAACTTTAGTAAACACCATTTTTATTTATTTTTTTCAAAATTGAATAAATCACGAACTAATCATCCGATTTTCACTTGATTTATGGCTATCGACACAATTTTTTCAGCTTAACAAAAAAGCCTATTACAAAAAAAGGATTTCACGAAAAGTTTTCAAGTCATTTTGAAAAAATACTTTTTCGGAATTTCTTTCAACAACTATATCTCTCGAACGAATCAATCGATTTTGATTCGGTACACGGCAATCGACGTCGTTTTTTTGAGTACAAGAATTGATTAAATTTATATAATAATATATCAAACATTAAAATTTGAATCGTACTATGTGAGAAACACCAGGTTTTAAATAAAAATCGCCATTATCATCATCTCATCATCAAAATCGGTTCAAACAGAAAAAAGTTCTGAGGTAACACATAAAAAGTACAGTCGAAATAAGAACCTTCTCCTTTTTTTAAGTCGGTTGAAAACACAATTTAATAGAGGGTGACAAAGGTAAATGTTGCAACTCTTAGGCCCGATTATTCAATCATCAGATAAAACAATTAAACTATTTTAATCATACAACAGTAATTTTCAATTTGTTAATGTTGCATTTTATCCTATGAATAAATAATTTTTATGAGGATTGAAATTTAACCATTAGACATCTATTTATTCTCCAGAAATGTAACATATTGCCCATTTATTTGATAAATTTCCGTCTAGCAGTCTTGAGAAACTCCCAAGCTGATTTTGTCTCACTTCTGCAGCATAAATTTACTTTGTCACTCTACCCTCATAGTAAAAACGTGGTAAAAAATAAAAACCTCTTACCATGTATGCGCCCTAGGATAATTCTCCGGCGTTCCCCATTTCTCAATAGTGAACAACTGTGGGCCGTTTGACCCGTATAGCTCCTTGAAACCGTTCATTGGCACCCTAGACGTGCCCGTTACAAATTGAAGTAACCTCGAGCGCATTTCATTAGAGAATGAAAGTACTACCTGTGAAGGAATTGTTATATTAAAAACTTGCGACCTATCTTGACTTCGCCTAGGTTACATCTGTTCATTTGACATCATTTAAGTTTAAAATATCATCAAATACCATTGCTTATACTACTCTATCGATTTCACAGAGATTTAAATCATCTAAAAATGGTTATTCTATATTACTAGGTTATATATATATACAACATATAACATAATTAACGCACATCCTGGAAGTAGTTTGTTCAGAATCATTTACTGAATCGATTTCTATCATTTTTAATATTGATAATTTTTTATCCCAAAAATAATCAAAATTACAGTCACACTAAAACTGTACAGTCAAAACAAACTGAAATGGACCGTAACTGAAGGCAATAAGACTTTTAAGAGTGCAGTTTTATGTGTATTATTACAAATTCTGTCATTCAATAAAGAAAAATGAACGTTATTTCAAACACGTTAAAGTCTTTGCATTCGTGGATTTGTACTGTGACCACAACATTCTTCCGGAATTAGTATAACTAATTTGATAAAAAATCAGTACATAAAAATGTTTAACTAAAAATTCAGTGTATATTATGATTATAAAATACTATACTAATTGGGGTGTTTATATATATTAAATATAGACACCCCAATTAAATTATAGGTACATTATAGGTTGTTACAGAGCACGAGGAATCTGTGACAGCAAACACCTGGTCGCCGAGCTTCAGCACGTCAAGCAGGTTCTGCACGACAACAAGCTTCGAGTCCCGCGCCTACGTCACAGTGAACGAGTGAAGCCGGCCACAGTCGAGCGTGTGCCTGCTGTACTACCATATGTCAGAGGAGTCACAGACAAGATTGGCTACATTTTGAAGCGAGCTTCTATTAGAAAATTCTACAAGCCGCCGAAGAAGATTAGTCAGTTCTTACCATCCGTCAAGTGTCATATTCCTCTACAAGATGCAGTAGTGTACAAGATTGATTGTGATTGTGGTCCTTCATATATAGGGCAAACAAAGAGATCAATTAGAACACGCGTAAAAGAACACATAGCTGACGTGAAGCATCAACGTTCCGGGAAGTCTGCAGTTTGCGATCATATTCTAGACGGCCCCAACCATTACATCAGATTTGATAGACCACAAATCCTCGCGAAAGAACATCGATTCCTACCAAGGATGATACGTGAGGCTATTGAAATTAAAAAACATCCTAATTTCAATAGAGAAGGAGGCTGGGTACTACCACCTGCTTGGGACCCTATAATTAATAAAATTAAAACTAAACCCAAGCATACCACTGCAAGACTTCAAAACACAGTTAGTTCATTCTGCGTAGATCGGACCAGACAATAATTAAAAAAGCTGAACTATTCCTCCGTGTTAACTTTGACATCGGGGCATCAGTCACCTCAGACCCCGTGACCATGGGTGCTGGAAAACACCCGAAACGTCGGGTATTAAAAATAAAATAAATAAAACGCGATAAAATCCGTAAAAGTAGTTTTAATCAATGTGTAGTGTTCGCGTAAATATAAGAAATCATTATGCAAATCTGTCTCAACATTGGTCATTGGCAAGTCCGCCTGCTAATTTAGATATATGGAGGCCCCCATTGATCTGGTCTGATCTTGGATGTGGTTTCATACTATGGTGTGGAAAGAAAATAAGTGTACAGACCTTATTTGACAGTTGTTACAACCTCAAAAACTTTACTTAATAGCATTTTTCCGTGGCCTCTAAATGAAAAAATGATAAGTTATTACGTTATCATAAACAATAATTGTTTTATACAACACTAGTTGAAGGTCGACGCGACATATAAAACGAATCAAGTGACAGGTAGTGTATGGAAAGTGGGTATGATTATTTTATTTTACGAAAAACCTTTCTCGCCCCGTTTTGCCCTGGCTAGAATCTATTAATGTGGCGTTACTTAGATATAAGATGATCAAAGGTCATTTATTTTATTAATTTCACGTTTTATCAAAAATGTCTCCTTTCGATAAAATATAGCCTAGTTCACTCCTGACATTGCTTTTTACCTGGTAGTGAACTTTTATTACAATCAGTTGAGCCATTACGAAAATTAACCGGAACCAGACAGACAGACAATAATTAAAAAAAATGGGTATATCTTAATATGCACAAAGACCTCTAAACTTAATAGAAGCCAGTTATCTGAATATTACAGACGGACACGACAATTTTATATATGTATAGATATAATGTTATAGACAAGACATGGCACTCACCCTCCAAAACCATTGTACCACCAGATGGTTCGCGTGGTAGTCTCCCTTGTATAAAGTGTTGGCCCTCCAATCTCTGACGTCTATATGCTGAATGCCACAGAGCAACAGTTCGAGCTCGTTCTCGTCGAAGATCTTGAGCAGCGGTAACGGCACCAGGCCGTCGAATCCCTCCAGGAACGCGAACATCTGTTCCTGGACGCGGCTTACGAAGCGCCATTGGATAACTAATCTGTTGATAAAGATGACGTAAGCAAATCACTTATCTTAGACGATAAAAGATGAAAATTTTATAACGTGTCTTCTCGTCACAGTGCCACGCCATATCTACAGTACTTCAGTATAAATATTGTGCATCGGCTAACTCCGTGTTTACGAATATGAGAGACCGCATCGAGAGTATATAATATATATCATATAGAGCTGCTATTACGAGGGCGTCACTGAAAATTTCGGGAATCAAGGAAGTGACACAACATTACTATTTAAAAATGTATTTTATTGCTTTTCGAAGTATTCTTCGCGAAATTTGACACATTTTTCCATACATGGAACCAATCATTGAAGCAACCATTCCATTCGGAAGTTGGGGTCCCTAAAATGGCCGTTTTGTAGGCGTCCACAGCTTCTTCAGGTGATGAAAATCTCTGTCCACGCAATTTATTCTTTATTTTAGGGGAAGAATAAAAATCAATAGGGCTTAGGTCGGGGCTGTACGGCGGATGGTCTAATAATTCTATGTTTTCTTGCTCTAAAAACTCTTTTGTTCTGTGTGCGGTGTGAGAACTCGCATTGTCGTGATGGAGGATGATGCGGCGGTTGCAGTTCTCTTTACGGAGTTCAGAAACGACCTGTGGCAAACAAATGCTAGCATACCATTCTGCATTAACCGTTCTTTGTCCCTCAAGGGGAATAGTCGTAACATGGCCGGTTTTGGAGACAAACGTGGCCACCAAATGATTTTTTTTGCAACACTCCGTGAACGAACAATTTTTGTTGGCTTTAACTCATTTTCGAACACCCAAACTCGTGACAGGTTTTTTGTTTCGGGTTCGTACGCGTATATCCAGGATTTGTCACCTGATATGATGTTATCCTCATCAGGATCCCCAAATGTATACAGCATTTGAGGATCCTGCGTAGAGTCCTTCGAGAGCCACTTTTTGCTCTTCACAGAGCGAATGCGGTATCCATCGGGAAAACAACTTTTTTACACCTAATTGTTCATGCAAAATTATTTGTATTTGACTCATGCCAATGTCTAAAGTTGCCTGAATTTCGCGGTATGTCACATGTCGATCTTCCTCGATCAGCTTACGCACAGCATCAACGTTTTCTTGGGTGACTGCAGTTTTTGGACGACCTTGACGGAGTCATCACTGAGCTTGACACGTCCACGTTGAAATTCAGCAAACCAGCGATAAATTGTGGTTTTGGATGGGGCTTCATCACCAAATGCAGAAATCATCCGGTCAACACACTGTTTTTGTGTTAAACCACTTCGAAAGTCATAATAAATCATCGCTCTTGAATTTTCTCGAGTCAATTCCATTTTCTCGACGACTAAACAAGTTTGACAAAACCTTGTGACAAGACCGAGAATCTTTTTTTAAATAAATAAATGGTATTCGATTTTTAAAACCAAGGAGTTTTCAATTAAAAAGATTTTAATATGACAGGAACAGTGGAAATATTCCATTCCCGATACTTTTAGTGCAGCCTAGTACCAAATTATTATTGCGAAATTATCGGTATTGCGAGATAATTACAACTTTAGCACAATTTTTCAGGTCGTATTGTAGAACACGATATCGTTCAATAAACAACACAACAACAAATTTGAACCTTACTTTGAAAAACAAAACATGATGGCGATCATACAGCTCTGTATGATTCCACAAAACGGTAGCGCACGTTCTCTTCATTTAATCTTAAATTACAGTAGCGAACTTAGCTACAGGGCAGATGATAGTAAACGGTTAAGTAGGCAGTAGGGTTCTTAAAAATGTCTTCGTGGCGAGTTTAGTTTAAAAAAGTACACTTTTATATTTTAAGTGACGAACGCGAACACGTTGCGTCCTGTCGACGTATGCACTGAACTAAACTCGCCCGTTCACACGAGCGGCGAGTTTAGTTGCGAGTGGCGGGAGACGCGCGAGAGGACAACACTTCGAACTTGACTCGCCGAAAAATAGACCGGCCGGCTATCCCTTTCTACTTAATTGTTAATTTTCCGGACCGATACGACTTAGGGACCTTCAAGAAAAGAGTCTATTTCTTTTTAAAAGGCTGGCAACGCATCTGCAATCCCCTGGTGTTGCAGCTGTTCATGGGCGACGGTAATCACTTACCATCAGGTGAGCCGTATACTCGCTTGCCCCCTCTCCTATAAAAAAATTTGCTACTTAACTCAATGATTGCCGTTCAACGAGATTTTTTACTTAACTCGCCAGGTTCACACGTTAACTCGCTACTGTACTTGTCGAACTGTAAATCGGCCATTATAGGCTGTCAACGTCGTGCAGTCCACGCCCACGGGGTACAGGGTGGAGAGGGACGAGGAAGCACGCGGCTCGTGCACGAGGCCACGCCCACGGCTACACACGTAGGGATTTGGGATCGAGTTATCTTGAGATTAGTATGGATTTATTACGAAGTATTGTGTGATGTAGTGATGAATTCGATATAATATTAAATCACTTTATATTATAAAAAAGTCCCCCGCCGCGTCTGTATAATAAACTCAAAAACAACTAAACGGATTTTCTCCAATAGACGGAGTGATTCATGAGGAAGCTTTGCAAAATCTAGTACAAGTATAAAATGTAATGCACGCCGAAAGTAGAACGAAAGGAGAACGAAAATTGGAAAAATAAAAGATTAAACACCGAATAATAGTAATAATATTTTTTCTAAATAAGAAAGTAATTTAATACTGTTTTTTATTTACACTCATATTTACAACGAAAACAATTATAGTCGCAATCCATATCTATTTACACACACGGTTTTTGCCAAATTAATATCGTTCTGGTATTCTTGCGATGATTTACCATTTTTACGCTCTTTAAAATACATGTAGGTATACGTTATACACAATTTCTTTTGATTGTCGTCCAATCGGTTTGCTCATCTTCGGATCGTAATCTCGTGTGCGTCTAGTATACAAGTAACCGTTGCAAGCGACCACCGGCGACTGGCGCTCTTGAGCACGCGGCGTGCTCGCTCGCCCTCCCGCATACCGCTCGTTTCCCCTTTGAGGCCGTTTTACCTCGTTCTTGCCAACCCCTGTAGCCCCGCGGGCGCGGACTGCACGAAGTTGACAGCCTATAGTGACTTGTACGGTGCAAATAATTGCTGTTCTTAGAAATTATATTGACATTAGTTGGTGATAAAGTTGATATTACGCGTGTTTTTAGGAGCAAATTTCATTCGTCAAATAATTTTTGTAATGTACAATACGATTCTTTCCAATGTTTGCCAATGCACAATATTTATTCATAAGTACTGTACTTAGCTATTAGGTAATAATGTTGTAAGATCAGCTCTATATGATATGTCCTCTCGATGCGGTCTCTCATATTCGAAAATACGGATTTAGCCGATGCATAATATTTATTCAGAAGTACTGTACTTAGATAATAGGTAATAATGTAGTGTGACATTTTTTTTTGGTCAGATAACAATAATTCCAAAGTATCGTGTCGTCAAATACGAAACCAGCTCGGCCACAGGAACAGCATCAAAGGTTCAGGACGTCTGAAACGGCTTAGGGACTTACGAGACTTAGTGAGCGTCTCCAGATTGTTTGAACGTAGCTCCGAGCTTTTAAACCTACCCCTCACCCCCTACAATTCCTCCCATATACTCACTTAATGTATTCGAATTTGTTGTCGTTGTCGACTGAGATATTGGCTCCGCCCGGCTTTAATTCGCGCTGCACCATCTTCCCCAGCTGCTCCTCGTCGACCGAAAACGTCAGGTACAATTCTGACGGGTCGTTCTCCTGTAAACGGAATCATTATGTGATTAACACGTACTGGTGAAAGGTTCACGAGTGGCAAACTCTTACTAGTAAGCGAAAGCGGGCCTCCTTCTAGTTGAGGTGACGAGTAAGAGATGCAGATAGTCGATGACAGCAGCTGAATTATAACCGTGCTTGGTGGAGTTCCTTGGGGAAGGCATATGTTCAACAGTAGGCTAAGGACTGTATATACTATCTATATCATATCATTATCATCACATACAGGCTTATTTTTCAAAGAGTAGCCTAATATACAACTTAACTTTAATTATATAAATAATAATATGCAGTTACTGCAGTTTACGAGTAAATAAGATTTCTACTTTTATTTAAAATAAAATTATTTTAAATGAATATCCCAAGTTGAATGTGATTTATGGACAACAACGTTTTTACCTACCTATCGACCCTTACGAAGATGTGCGTGCACAATAAAATCAGTTAAAATAATGCATATTACCACGCATTTTGAATTTAAAGGATAAAAAGGGCTATATTAATTGTATAGTTGTACACCAATGGGTCAGCTCGACCGGGAAAGGACCACGCTCTCACAGAATACCAGCGTAAAATAGCAGTTTAATTGCTGCTGTGTTTCGTATGGTGAGTGTAGAGGACCGGAAACTCCTTTTACTGGAAAAGATATATTCCATCTCCGTTCTCAAGGCTGACAACGCACCTGTATTTTGATTCGCAAACGAGGATAGATGTAGACGTCTATGGGCCGCAGCAACCACTTACCATCAGGTGGACTGTGTGCTTGCTTGTCACCCTTTTCCTATTAAAAAAAAATTTCTTTACTTTTGGCCTATATTACTTAATCTGAACCTTCTCTGCAAATTTGGATGGTAGTCGCATAATAACCCTGTACATCAACATAATTGTATTGATGAACATAAACTGGTTTACCTTTTACTTTAATTTGTTAACCGTTTATTATTAGTTAATATTTAAATTTATCAAATAAGATTACTATATTTTCTTGTTTTTTTTTTAAACGTTACCTCCACACTAGGATTTTCTCCTGTAACGTGGAGGCAGTTTACAAACATAAATTTCACAAGGACAAACACCCAGACCCGCAACATATATTTGTAAGCCATACAGGTTCTTCTGTGCAGGATTCGAACCCGCGGCCCTTAGCGGTGTAACTCATTGCTAAGCCACTGCACCACAGAGCTATTTTATATTACTCATATTATTTAATTTATTTAATCATTTTATTTAACTATTTATTGTAATATAAATATGTTCAACAGCTGCACGGAAAATATAAGACACCGACTGCTATAACCAAAAATGTATTTATTTGTGTATATTGTTTCCTTTTGTTTTGTTTGTTGTTTTAATTTAATACCATATTGTGTACATTCCGTTCATCCATTACATCCGATAAAAGTCCACTGCTGAACAAGTGCTTCCTCCATACATTGCTTTATAAGGTCATAATAATTTCCCAATAGTTGCAACACTTGACAAGCGGGTATAGTAATCGCAGTCCTCTTTTTTTAATTATTATTATCCACTCAAACGCCCAAGCCGCGCGAGTGATTCTCGCCCCACCCGTCCGCCTATTTTGAATTTTTATCTTTAAATGTCACGTTCCTTATTACGACCGCGCGAGACACTCTCAAGTCTCAACAAAAACTATTACTTCTAAAAAACTACTATATCTACATTCAAATAAAAATATTCACGAAAAGCTCAAAAAAGTTAGAATTTTGTTATATATATATATATATATATATATATATATATATATATATATATATATATAAATTGCTCAAATTAAAAACAAATAATAAAAATATAACTTAAAGTTGAGAATATCAAAAAAATTATCGTATTTTTTTCTAGTTTTACTAGAAAGTATAATAGTTACCCTTTAAAATAACACCAATATCTCAATATTATTTACTTAGTATAGATAAATATATAACATTTACTCAATATAAATATTTACTCCCTAACGCAATCATGAATTGCATGAGTTGCATTTTAATAATACTTAGACACATCTCAACATATTTATTTTGTAAATGGCTATTAACGTGTTAATAGTGAAGCATTATTTTATGTTTAGCATTTATTTAACAAAAACAACCGATTAGAATACATTTTAAACAACGTATAATAAAAAACTATGATCGCGTATAGTGATTCAAATTTCGAGACACACAGTCCACCTGATGGTAAGTGGATGCCGTGGCCCATATACATGCACATTTATTCTCAATTAAGGATCAAAATGCAGACGCGTTGTCACCCATTCCACGTTCCATCTTAGTCCTCACTAAGATGGAATGCCTCGTATACAGTAAAAAGGGTCTCCGGTTTTCTACACTCACCATACGAAACACAACAGCATTATGCCGCTATTTTAGGCTGTTATTCTGCGTTATAATCACTCTATGTAAGCTAGGTGTAAAATACACGGACAGACGACAAAGAGAAACGGAGCAGCATGCAAAATGTTTCGCGAGCTCACATCTGGTTCTGCGATCGAAAGCCCAATGGGAGAAGTCTAACAGCGAACGGATGGATACGGGCTGAAGCAGAATACTTACTTTGATCCACATAAGCGAGTTGTAGTACTCCAGATCCACTGATTCCATGTCCTGTAACGCGATCGACTTGCCCAGCATCATTTTGTAAAATGGACGGATGAAAAATGCTGCGAACAAATTATGTGCATTTCGTTTAACACTCAAATTATATCTTTATTTATAGTTATAATTTAATGAAAAAATATTTTTATAGATTTGTACATGGTAGAGTCACGTTTTATTACGCGCCTTATTATGGCTGTAGCACGAATGAGTCGGCAATGAATGGGCCCAGCAGTAGGAGTTATGAAGGCCATTACCTTATACTTATTTAACCTCTCAACCCCCTAGCTGTCTCCTGAGACCGCGGCCATATTCCGTCAAATCCCTAGCGGTCTCATGAGGTCGCACCCACCCACAGCACTTTAACCCATAAAAACTTATATATAGAGACTCTATGAAGAACTTTGACATTATATAATCAATATTAAATACTCTATCCTCTAGTGCAATAAAAAACTGTTATCCTATGAGTATTTATTTATAATCGACGTTCATTTTGTACGCCATTTTCGCGTGAATGTTATTGTGTTGATTTTTGGATTTTTCTAATGTTTTAGTGTAGTGTTTTATTATAAAATTGTAATGAAAGTTTTTGTTTGAATATAATTTATCTTTTTTACGTAAATAATTTCGAGTAATATAATATATTGAAATAAATGTGATTTTCACGCTACCGACATTCGGTTGGTATGTTTTTTTTTTTTGTTATCAAAATACAATAAAATCTTTTTTGTAATGAAGTAAAACCTGACTTTCGTTTAGACCACAGGATAGAGAATTTTGTACAAGATTTTATAATTCTGAACTTCTTCATAGAAAAGTAGTCTCTAAATATAAGTTTTAATGGTTTTAAATGCTGTGGGTGGATGCGGTCGCATGGGACCGCTTGGGATTTCCCGGCGCATGCGATTGCATGCGATTTTTATGGCGTTTGAAGGGATAAGCGATATATACCGCTACCCTTACAGCTGTTGCCGTTTCAGCGCATTTGACGCTAGATCTAGTGCAATTCTAGGGTCTATAACGCTTTTTTTAAATATCTACGTGCTAAAAATATCTAGTCTTAGTCTTAGATTAGATTTTTTTATAGGATAAGGGTGACAAACGAGCACACAGTCCACCTGATGATAAGTGGATGCTCAATTAAAAATCAAAATGCAGAAGAATGCAGCGCTGTCACCCTTCAGGACTAAGATGGAATGCCTCGTTTAAAGTAAAACGGGCGTACGGTTCTCTATACTCACCATACGAAATACGGCAGCATTAAGCTGCTATTTTACGCTGGTATACTGTAAGTCCTTCCCTGATCGAGCTGACCCATTCACGCTACAATCATAATAGCTGCAGTGCGGCTCTACCACGTATAAAACGCGCGTAGATGTTTAGCGCGCGTAGATATTTAGATTATAAAGCGCTATAGACCTTAGATTTTGAAATAGATACATACATACATAAACACTCACGCCTGTCACCAGAGGGGTAGGCAGAGACTACAGACTTACATTTGGCACGATCCTGACACACCTCTCTTGCCTCCTTCACATCCATACACCTACGCATACATGCTCGTCGGTTAAGGGTACTCCTAATTTGGCCCGTTTTCAATAAATCGCCAATTTGGTCGATAAATTTTTGTCTAGGACGTCCCTGTCCGACTCTGCCATTTACTTCTGCACCATAAATTTTCTTTGTCACTCTTTGCTCATTCATTCTTTCCACATGACCAAACCACCGAAGCATTCCTTCCTTAATCCTGGTCACAACATCATTTGCAAACCACACTCTTCTCTTATTACACAATTTCTCACCCTGTCGTTAAGATTCAGCCCTAACATACTCCTTAACGACCGCATTTCTACTGCGTTCATTCTACTCTCGTGCTTCTTCTGCCACACCCAACTTTCACTACCATACGTTAAAGTAGGGACCAACACAGCATTGTGAATTGCCATACGTGCCTTTTTCGACACATTTTGACTCTTCACAATAGACTGCAAGGCCCCATTTACTCTATTTTGAAATAGATCTAGCGCCAAATGCGCTGAAACGGCAACACTGGTTACAGCCTATCAAAACTCCACGGTTGAACATAGGCCTCCCCTTAGATTGCTGCATATTAAAGGTATTTATCATGGTTGCCAAGCTGAGCAAGCGGGTTAGCAACGGTCTGGTTTAAGTTCTTATTAGGAAGACGCTGCTGCCCATCTCCTGGTTAGTTTTCCTCGGTCGTCTCTTACGACACCTACGGAACAATATGGAGTAGTGGATATTCTTATATGTAGTAAAAAAAGTAAAGTTACAGCCTTATACGTCCCACTGCTGGGCACAGGCCTCCCCGCATTTCTGAGAGGGTGTTAGGGCGAGGAAGTGTCCGCCGCGCTGCCCCAATGCGTGTTAGCGAACTTCACATGCCTTCGAAATATTTTTTTCTTTCTTATTCTTCAGACATGCAGGTTTCCTCATGATGTTTTCCTTCACCGCCGAACACGTGGTAAATCAGCACTTCAAAATTGCAATTTCATTGGTGCCGGCGGGAATCGAACCCGGGTTACTCGCGTTCTATTATATTTACAGCGAGCGCTAACCATCTGAGCTACCACGGCTCTTATATGGTCGATATTTATTATATGGACTATTCTCTTTAGAGACAGAATAAGACATAAGTGATAAATGGTAAAAAGGTCACCGTCATTAACCGCTTCGGGTCCAGATTATGTTATTATGTTTTTTAAGCACTCAACCTACATATTTATATAGGAATATTTTTTTATAGAATAAGGGTGACATACGAACACATAGTCCACCTGATGGTAAGTGGTTGCTGCGGCCCATAGACATCTACTTATACCCTCGATTAAGAATTAAAATGCAGATACGTTGTCACCACTGAGGACTAAGATGAAATGCCTCATTTCCGGTAAATAAGTGTTTCCGGATCTCTCACTCACCATACGAAACACAGCAGTATTAGGGCCGATCCTCATATGATGCCGTTCACAATTCGTTCTCGTTCGATCTCGGTCTGATAAAATATTATCAAGTAAAAAATATGTGCATTCATACTATCCGGTAACAGTCAAGTTTCGGTCGAATCCCATTCCATTATAATAAATCAGACCGAGATCGGACCGAGAACGAACTGTGAACGGCAAATTTGGGTCGGCCCTTACGCTGCTAATTTACCCTGGTATTCTGTGAGATCGTGATAGTTCCACGGTCGAGCCGACCCATTCGTGCTACAACCATAATAAAGTTGCAGCGTGGCTCCACCACGTACAAACCACCACATATGAGTCACTTTGGTCCACAAATACAGTATTTATTAAGAGTTTAACTACAGCTCCATCTATCTGATACTAGTATGGGTATGAACCATCGTTTTGAGAATACTTATCAATATATTGTGTTAATACGAACTTAATCGGTAAAGTCGTTAACAAGTTACACAATCACTAACGGGCGAACTAACGATTATATAATATACAATATTATACTTCTATACTGCTGTAGACTCACCATCGAGCAGTTTCCCGTGGTACACAGCCATGCCAGCCACGCGGCCTATGAACTTGAAGTAGTTGAGGTGTTCCTCATTACAGACGCCACTGTTCGGGTTGATCTGTAGCGTGTAGTTGTCCATCGCGGAGTACTCGAACAGACCGTAGTACGGATTGAACATCTCTTTCGACAACAGGAAGAACCACTCCCGGGCCAGGCCACCATAATCTGAAGCAGAAATTTTAACGATCAGTCAATTATAAGCGTTTGAAAAACGAGAGAACATTTATTTACTTCACATCGCGACTTTATAAATATATACAAGTTTAGGCGCATAAAGAAATGAAGAATATTAAGCAAGAATAAGAATCAAACATATTACTAAATAGAAAAGTAAAAAAAATCTAATAAAAAACTAACTAGGTACCTAACAAAATATAAATCATCATCATCATGACTATGATCCACAAGAGCATTGACCTTGTCCACATATTGGCGCAAAGACCGATTCTAAACTAGCCGTAAGTAAATTTTTGCATACAGAGATGTTAACTCTTTTTAAACCCACCAGTGTCCGAAAAGAAAGGTTGACAGTTTATGTTTGATGGAAGGAACATATTTATTTGATAAACACAACACCTTGACAAACATAGAATATCGTACATATTAAAAAAAAACAGTTATGTAAGGATTCCGCAATTTTGATAATAAATGGGATAAACTGTGGCAGAAAATGATGTCAAACCTAAACGGAGATACCGTTTCAATTTACATCAGGTACAAACACAGTAAAAATGAGATCCAGTGCGTGTAGTGTATTTACGGCACTATATTTTTTTGATGCGGTGGTGATGGGGCCCGGGGGGGGGGGCGATATTGTACGGCGTCGCCGTTCCTACAACCCGCAGTCGAAACTTGGTTGGCAGCGGATCCACAGACCAGATCTACCGATCTGAAAGCGTGTGCTTCTGAGTATTCGTTTTCTCCTGACTCCATGGCCTCCGCGTAACGTGCTCACGGGGGTTGCGACGGTGGAGTTAAGGCCGCGGAAAGTACGATATGCTATGCAAAAGTCTCCCCGTTTCACTGCCAATATGCGAAGAAGGTGGAATACCATGGGGGTTTTAGTCGGTGCGCGTCCAACATAACCCGCCCTTGCCTCTGCAAGGCCATGTAAAATGTCCCCCTTACCTTACGCGTGTGTGTGTGTGCCGACCAGGATTGCGTATCTTATACTCAGAATCACTAATCGGTATTCGTTGAAGGTCATACAGGTATACTCATAACCTTGGCACATCCCGATGAGGATGTAGAGTAAATGTATGAGGATATGTCTAAAGCCGTGCATTGCTCCAAAACCCACTATACGGTGTTAATAGGAGACTTTAACACAGAACTAAGCACAAGTGAAAACGATAAGCTGAAAGTAGGGAAGTTCGAAATAGGGCTACGGAACCCAAAGGCCCAACATCTGGCTGACTTCATGGCGAAAGGATTCTTTATGATGAACTCGTTTTTTTAAGAAGCTGCACCAAAGGAAGTGGACCTAGTCGAGTCCCGAAGGTTTCACAAAAAATTAGATTGACTTCATTACGACGTGATGGTGAAAATTGACAGCGATCACCGAATAGTTAGAGCTATGCGGTCGGAGCTCCGTTTTGCAATACCCGTCGCGGAAGAACACATACTCTTCGATCACACTCTTAATCTCATGGCTGTTAGATGGGAAATGAGGCTGCAGTCTTCAGCAGATTTAACAGCATACAGGCAACTGAACAGACAGATCTCCAATGCATGAGGCAGGACTCACGCAACTTCAAAGCAGCCAGTATTGACGAAGCGATCCAGTGGACCCAGGGCTCCAAAGTCTTTCCCAGAGACATGTCTACCAGAAAGAGCCAACTGTCGAAGCTTAAGACCGAGTGTGGCAGCATCGTTTTCAGGTCACCTGAGATTTTGAGTGAGATTGAGAGGTTCCATGGGCAGCTGTACACGTCATCATTGGATTCACATGCAAGTGTAAGTAACGATCCAAGAGCAAGTCTTATCCGACACTGTTCCGATGATATTTTGGACGTAAGACATCACCTTAAAAACGGCAAGGTTTCATCAGGCGAGGATGGAATTACAGCGTAGCTTCTGAAAGCAGGTGAAAAATCGGTACTTGTCTTTTATACGCTTTTTATTTCCGTCCTCCATGGTGGGACTACTCCGGAGGCGTGGAGTAGAAGTGCGGTCGACTTGTTCTTCAAGGAAGGCAACAACACTCTATTCAAGAACTACAGACCGATTTCCCTTCTGAATCGCGTCTACGTGCTGTTTTCGAGTAATTACGAATCGTCTCGCAAGCAGACTCGACGACTTTCAGCGTCCTAAACATGCCGGTTTTCGAAAAGCTTTTACTAAAGCAATACTTTAGAACACATACATACCATTCAGCAAATTGTACACAAGACCGACGAGTATAATCTGCAAGTTTGCCTTACGCATGTGGACTATGAGAAAGCCTTCGATTCCGTCGAAATTTGGGCGGTGCTACAGTCTCTTTAGCGGTGCCAAGTTGACTGTCGATATATCAGTGCTGAAGTGTTTGTACAGTAGGGCTACGATGGCTATCTGTGTACAGAACCAGAGTACGAAACCCATCCAACTGCAGAGAGGTGTAAGAAAGGGTGACCCCCAAAACTCTTCACCGCAGCATTGGAAGACGTTTTCAAGCCACTGAACTGGAAAAGATATGGTATTAACATCAATGGCGAGTACATCACTCACCTTTGATTTACCTGATCTTCTCGTCAGGTACCTATACCTCAAAACTTGAAAACAAGATTGTACAACCAGTGCATGTTTCCAATGATGACTTATGGATCTGAGACGTGGTCTTTCACTGCTGGCCATATGAGGAAACTCAAGGTCGCTCAGCAGGCTATGCTCGGGGTTTCTTTACATGATAAACTTAGAAATGAGGGTATCCACAGTAGAACCTGTGACCTACATAGCCCAATGGATTAGTTAGCTGAAAGGGGCAATGGGTCGGTCATATAGCTCGAATAACCGACAACCGATGGTAAAGAAAGATTCTTGAGTAGCAGCCTCGTACCGGTAAGGGAAGTGTAGGGCGACCTCCCACTAGATGGAGTGACGACTTGGTAAGTCATACAGGAACTCGATGGATGCAGGTGACTCAGGATCGTGCTTTGTGGCACTCTTTGGGGGAGGCCTATGTTCAGCAGTGAACTTGTTAAAGGCCGTGATGAGGATCACGATGGTGATGGTCATGATGATCATGATAATGATGGACCTTACGCTAAAAATCGAATATGCAAGTCGTCGCCATCAGTTCGTTCATTTGTATGATAAAAATATTATGTCGATGGAATGGTTCTACTCACCAAGGCCCACTTCAGACTCGAACTCTACCCACAACTTCGTCTTGAGCAGATCCAGGCGGCTGACGGAGCTAATGGTGCGGTACGAGTCCTCCAGGATGAAGTTTCGTCGGACTTTGATCTCGAATTTGTTTGGCACGTTGCTCTACGAGAAATTATTTTTCGTTTTTAATTTGAGGAGAAATCATTTCGTAAGAGATTTTGCGAATCTTTTGGTTTTCTTTATCTGATGATAAGTAGCTAGTGTAGCCCCTAGAGACTTGCAACCAACTTTTTTTATATAGAATATATGAATTTAACATTGTTTTAAACTTTGTTTTAAACAATGTTAAAAACATTATGTGTCTGTTACCAAGGTCATTGTATGGCCATTAATTTAGTTTTTTAATGACAGCCACCATTCGAGAGGTTAGACGTGATTTACTACATGATTTTCAAATAAAAAGTTATGAAATGAATCTATCATCGCCCTATATTTTACAACATAGGGTATCACCTCTTTGTGATAAGCTTCAATAAAAGATAAAGCTTTAGAAATATCTTCACGTGTGAGGTTTTCGCCCCTGTATTTAAGATGTAGTAAGTTTGCTGAAAAATAAACTGGTCACATTGCTATTTCAAACCGAGCATTGAACTTACTTAAATCACCCAGTGAATACTCGGTTTCAAGCTGTCGTATGGTATGTGTACCCTCAAACTTATTTTTAAGCTTTATCCATGCTTCAGTCACTTTGCCAATACAGCAGAATGTCCTCCGGAAGATGTCAAATGTAACTGATATATTTTCCAGTTTCCTGTGGAGGGCTTGGGCTTGTTGCTTTAGCGGCATTTCATTTACTTTCGATGAAATTAACAAATATATAACGGTTGCATTATTTAAGCACATGTCAGACATAATATGCCAGTTTTTCAATAAAAAACTTTTAGTCTGTCAGCCATTATGTTCCACCGTACTTGGTGTGGTATAAACATTACTTTTCCACCAGCTTGTTTGTAATTGGCAAATGCAATTTTTTCTGCTAGTTTATAGTATGGGAACGGCAGACTAAATATTGTTATGAGATACTAATTCTTCCTGTTGAGTCAAATCTCATCTCATACGGCTCATATTTGCTGCGTTATCTGACATTACGCTTCGCACCGTGCATTTGAAAGTCTCACACTGTTTTATTGACGCAGTAGTAATTTTAATCAAATAGTTAGCTGTATGGATTTCGGCACCTGTGTCTACTCGTATTACATCAATTAAATGAGTTGAATTTGTTAACACATCTATGACCCAGACACAGACTATCGAGTCCTGTCTGACTTTGCTCCAACCATTAATAGACAAATTAATAACTTTGTTTTTCGACTCATATTTTACGCTTTCTTGGTTTGAGTTGTAGACTGCGTCGAGTAGATTACCGGTAATTTGGTTTCGGTTTGGAGGTGTATACCCTCATAAATTTTGACTGTGAATGTTCTACGTGGTTAAAAGGCGTGTTGGTAGCAAACATATAACGAGATAACTGTAAATCAATTTTCTTCTTATCGTCTTGACTTGTGGTAATAGTATTTTTTTTTCATTGGAACGTTCATACGCGCGCAGCTGTTGCAGCCACTGGCACTTTTAGATTAAAAAGTAGTAACAGAAACCAATGTGGTATAAGTATTATCTTATGATCGGGAAGAACCAGCATCACTCAACAATTCCACCACACAATCCTCGGCCGCATCAAAATCTTTTTTTTTATTAACTGGCTTTACGACTCTGGTTTCTAGACCTTCCGAGCCTATCCTTTCTTTTGGAATCTTCATTTTATATTCTTTTTCTTCACAATATGCTCATGCGTCACATTGCGAAGCCCTTGGGAGATTTTTACGACAGCTCAACCTAGCGGACAGTTCATGATGACAGCCACTCAAGTTCATGAGGTGCCCAAGCGATCAAAATAACTTGAGGTTTATATCGACATCAAAGCACTTGTTTCGTCGTTTTCTCTAGTAGTTCACATGCGTAGACACTTAATTCACAAAATCACATCACTTTTACGAATCAAAATCCACTTCAAACCATTATTCAAGCGACAAAACAGGAGCGATAATCCGTCTACGGCCAAGTTCCCGCCAAAAACTCCTACATCAAGATCTACCATCAGTGTGAGAACAGGTGCTACATTTCTGGAAGAGTGCCTCCATTTTGTTTAAAAGTTCAACAAGTTATTTCTTACATTTTCTGCAACGCACCCTATTAGTCTTAAGTGTGGTATTTTCTTGAGGAATCTATATGAATTGTTCTCAAATTGCATGCTTTTTTAGTCCTGGAGTTGACATTTTAATGATGTGTTAAATGATCAGTTATATCAATAATTAAACTAAATATTAGAAAAAAAGGCTCTCGCATTTATACTCTTCATAGGTTCACGCCGGTAAATTTTCGCTGGGAATGTCCCTATGTCGACCGTCTTCGAAAGAAAGAAATTTATTAAGAATGATCATGATGTATGTAAAACATATATCGATTGATCGATTTCGTAAATGTTTACTAAGTAAGTTTTAATAATATTTTAGAAATGAATTGATTAGGTCTTATTGATTTTAAATTGATAACAAGAGGTAAAAAGTGTAAAAGATGAAAAACAAAAAAAAAACAGTTTAAAGCATTTTGAACTGTTTATTTTATGAGGTTTAAAAAGACTGTATTTTCCTTGGCGTGCATGTATGTGCGCGTGTACGTGCGCGTGTACGTGTGCGTGTACGTGTGCGTGTGCGTATACATACCGGCTTCCTGAGCTGGCTCTTGAGGTACTCGTACTTGCGCTTGTAGTCGCGCGAGTAAGGTACGGCGGGCCCTGCGATCTGCGGGTTGGATAGCCGCGGGTCCTCCCACTGCGTCGTGCGCGTGTCTGCGCACACATACACACGTGGTTAGAGGGGGGCGGGGGAGAGGTTATAAATGCCATGAGTATTTATTAGTTACAAATCTTACTGCATTTTATCGCACTAACTCTTGTTTACCGTCATAGGCAACCATAAAATTTCACGGCATTCAACAGATGGTATAACCATCTTTGTAACGCCAGGGGTAAAAAACCGCAGACCGACAAAGGTTATGAAATCTTCGCAATGTATTCCATAGTCGACGTACGCAACACCCTCGAGAGAATATGGACCACGACCTAAACACGTTAAGCATAATGATTTCTTATATTAACGCGAACACTATACATTGATTCAAACTACTTTTACGGATTTTATCGCCTTTATTTATGTTATTTTTAATACCCGACGTTTCGGGTGCTTTCCAGCACCCATGGTCACGGGGGGTGGGGGGTAGGAACGTCGTGTATTAAAAATAACATAAATAAACGCGATAAAATCCGTAAAAGTAGTTTGAATCAACATTAAGCATAATTTCAAAAATTCTATTTCTTATTATTGACGGTGATAAGCTCTTCGCTTTGTTTCCTATAGATGAGTATCACAACGGCCTCGGAAAGTATTGGGCCTCGACCAAGGTCGTTATTATTAATCATGCATCCAATTCAATGTGATTTCCTAATATCGAATGCAACGTAAAAACAAATACAAACTTAAACACTTACTATGATCAATAAAGAAGATCCTGCCGTCTGTGTGTACGCGTTCCTCCCAGCCTTCGGGCAATGGGCCAAGCTCGTCAGCCTCTGCCACAGAGCTGCTTTGTGCCGCCGTCGGGAGGCTCGACGCGCAACCTAAAATCAACCTTAGTGTTGTAAATTTGGAGTTCGTTTTGTTTTACAGTTATTGAGGTTTATTTTATTAACTTTATTCTCATTAAGAAAACAAAAATTCCCTCATCATGAGAAAAAAAATTTATAAGTTATAACAATATCTGGAGAAACACAGAAGTTGGGGGTACATTACAAATACAGTTAAAAACAGTCACAGGGTTAGAGAGAGATACAATCACAGATATAAAATTGAACTACGCTCAACAAGTTACACGAAACGGCTTGAAATACATATTTAGTAATATTTTATTCTAATTCGAATTAGTAATGAACAATAAAAAAAACTTTATACCTTATTTGCACCTTTTTAAATATATTTAAAATACTTATTGATTATTATTAATATTTTAAACTTACGTTATTTGATAGATTTTACAATATATTTTAGTAATTTTTTTGAAGAATTACTACACTATGTTTGAACATTTGACTACGATTACTTAATGTCTTTAGGCAGTTTGTTATATAATTGTGCCCCTTCACACACTAGGTTTGTTTTACCATAACTAGTTCTTGGTGCACGTAAAATGAGATCTGCATTTCTGAGCCGAATTTTTTGAATTTGTCTCTTTTTAGTGAAACTTAAATAAGTGTGGATATCTTTATTTATTATTTTAAGAAACAGATTTCATGTTGATAAACGTATTTTAAAGTAAAAAAGCACAGTTGCACTAACGGTACAAAACAAAAGAAAGACATCGCATCGTGATAGCAACACACACCAGTTCTAGGATCAATCCACGTAGTTGTCTTTTGGTTGTGATCGATGAAGAATATCCTTCCATTAGGCGCTCGCTGCATACTCCATCCGGGTGGCAATCCTGAAAAATTGATACAATGTAGCGATCATTTATCTATGATGATTTTTTTGTGCCGAAGCAAAGATTTACCATTGATCCTCATGGCCTGAGTCTTTACCTATTGAGACGGTCCATTATTATTATAAATAATTAATAATTAATTTCTACATAAAGCCGTCAAAAATTATCTTAGAAAAAAAATATTAACCAATAAAAATACGCATAAAGTTAAAATGAATACATTTCAGATATTAAGTATTATAGTAAATTAAAAGCTTAATATTGTCTTTCAAGTAAATTAAAGGCTTAATATTGTTTTTCAAGATCAACAAATTCATTAAAATCTTTGTTAAAATATTCAAATTTTGATAAATAATAGAAATTCAAGTCGAAAATATTATACAAATAAGGATAAATAACATTTATAATAAGTAATGGACCGTGTTCGCGTATAAGAAAATTCTTAAGTTATGGGGGAGTTTGTGTATAGACGGCTTGTATGGGGAGCTGCCGGAGACACATACCCAAGGTCGTACATATATATGGAGTGCTCAGGTGACTGACTACTTATATTACTGTTGCACAATGTATAGTCCTATATTAGGGACTTATGATAGTAAGGTCTATGATACAAAAGCATTACTATAGAAGGTTCTATGAAGTATAAGCATTACAATTCTAGAGTTGTGGGTTGAAGTGCCATATATTAAATACTTATAATAGTAAAGTCTATGATACAAAATCATTACTATCATAGAAGGTCTCTATGATGAATAAGCATTATGATACTAGAATTGTAGGTCGAAGTCCCATATATTAATGACTTATGATAGTAAGGTCTATGATACAAAAGCATTATTTTAGAAGGTCTCCATGATGAATAAGCATTACGATACTATAGTTTTGGGTTGAAGTCCCAAATATTAAAGACATATAATAGTAAGGTCTGTGATACAAAAGCATTATTATAGAAGGTCTCTTTGACGCAAAAGCATTATGATAGTAGAGTTATGGACTGAAGTCCTATATATTAAAGACATATTGATAAACGTATGAAATAAAGCAAATATGTGGAAGGTCTCAAATAAGTAAAAGCATTACATTAATAGGAATTGGACTTGAAAAGGATTATTATAGTGACGTGTATGCTGCTTCACGAGCAACTGAGACCGAGGTAAACTTGGACTCGCTAACCGACGTGTCCTAGATATATCATCTTAGTGCTGGTGGTAAGCGGGTTTGTTGTAGCAATACGTTACGAAACGGCTTTTGTTACGAAAGTCGATAGGAAACATGTGGATGTGTTGTGAGGGGGCGCCATCCGTATGCTAGTTGCATTGATGCTTACCGCTACTTGCGATATTGCGTCTGGTGATGGATCTGCGAGTGTGCTGCACCCGATTCGACGCATCTTGTGGTTTTGGTCGATGGATGTAAGCGGGTGGTGATGTCTGCTGGGATGTATGGGGGACCTCGAGATGGCGTAAGCCTGACGGTAGTCGTATTGATGCTTGTTGCGTTCTGCATGGTTGTTTGGTGGGACACTGTTCTCAATGGCGCTCTCTGCGTCTTGGTTTGACTCACACCTAAGCAGCTCTGCCCAAGTCGGATCCCTTCATTACGGGTCTGCAGACTGTCTGACCTCCCCATGATGTTTTATATAACAACATAATAATATATCTCTGTAACTTTCCCACCTTTAAATGATTGAAGGCAACTTGTTGGTGGGTAAGACAAACATGATCGAAAATACATATACTCAACGTCAGAGACAAACCTTTTCTGATGGCGATTATACGATTTTATACGATTATTTTTATTTTAAGATACTATTGAATACGATTATCTTATAACTGCCTTTTGGCTATATCTGGCGTTGTATTGGTTGGTGGAGCATATGTGTCAACCTCATGCGTTTGGTAATTGGAGGAAGGATCTGAGGAGATTCTCAAGGCTGCGGCCGAAAGCCGCACAACGTAGAACTCCATTTCCTTGAGGTGAGGGGTAGACTCATGACACGCTCAGTGGCTAGTAGCTGTGCAGATCATGCAATCGGTGGTAATGCCACACACTTACATCTGCAGAAACGGCGGTCTGGCAGGTGGTGGCGCTCACGGAGGGTTTATTTCCAATGTAACTATTTGCCTAAACCGTGTGACGTACATTCACTGTGGCTGGATTTGTTCGTATTTTGTATGGCTTTTACACGCTTTTTTTATCAAGTCGCGGATGTCAATATCCGCGACTTCGGTCGATGTTTGTGCTTACGCACTACCAGGGGGCCAAGTCTTTTTTTATTGGTTCGCCAGTTATTTTGCTGTGGACTACGGTCCAGTTCCCAAATTAACGTCTCCTACGGGGGGAGCGCATTAAATGGTTGGCGCTCACCGCGCACGGCGTGTGGTGTGGAGCCGTGTGCCTCCCCCACATTTTTTTAAATAAATGTGGGTGAGTGAAACCCTTATATCGGGTATTTTATATGTATAAATATATTGCGAGCCTTTCCCAAGCGGGAAGGTATAATTAATAATAAATTAATAATGTAAACCTGATACTAGTGGAATAGGGACGTCTTAATGTTTTTAACGTTTCTTGAGCCCTGTCTTCGTGAACGGGGTTCACTTAGCTTGTAAGGCTCTACCAACAGCTTTCAATTGCTCTAGGGAATATTCATTTTTCCAAAAAATACCTAAAAGAACTAAGTTACTAAATAAACACAACGTAAATAAGGGTCCTAGCTAAGGCCTATTATTAAACCTTTAGAAAGATCAAAACATATTTTATTTATCCTGGTCACACATAGATAATTTTATACATAAAGGGGAAATAATATATATATATATATATATTGTGTGTGTGTGTGTATATATATATATATATATATATATATATATATATATATATATAAAAGAAAGAGGGAACGTTACACTATGAAATTGCTGTTCTGTACCAGCCATTTCAAATCAAAATAATTTTTGTTTGGCTAAGAATTCTAATTTCAAATTCTTTTTTAAAAACATAGAATTCTTTTTTCACAATTAGTCATTAGTTTATTGATTAGCGTTATGTTTTCAACGCATTTGAATCGTTTTCGTCATCATGGATACTATTATACTAATTATGGAATATGAATACCGTCATCGCAGCAACGCGGCACAAGCGACACGCAACAGGAACGACGTTTATGGAGCGAATACTACAAACGAATGCACCACCTGTTATTATAATGCTTATAAAATGTGTGGCGGCTTAGAATAGAAAAGGGAAATAAACACTCAATATATCCAGTCCCAAAATTCGTGCACATATACGATGCATATTTCATTCTGCATTATTGTCATTGGAACAACATAACAGACAAACAGCTTTTTCTAAATAATATATATTTATATGTGTCGTGCTGATCAACAATATCATTCTGGTTTATTCGAGCACCGTCCGGTTTTTAGATTTATTACATAGGTGGGTTTATATTCGACCCCAAAGCAACTACTATATTTTCGGCTTTTATGTGGCTAAAAAACCATTTCGAATATAAAGACTGAACTATAGTTAAAAGCCAACGTGAGCCCAAATTTTACTGCAAATTCTTTAACTCTTTCTGTCAGCTATAACTTAACTCTCTGATCAAAATTATTTAAGCAAAAATTAACTTATTTTATCTGAGATTACTATTTTTAAAAACCAATAATTATTAAAAAAAGACTACAAACCGTCACTGTTCGGTAGATTTTGGGAACTGCTAGCACTGCTACTTCTTGTACTCTCCGTCGATCCGTCTGTTTCGTCCTAAAACATACAAGTGGTTGCAATCTCGACTATGTAACACTAGTTATAGAGTTCAAATTCAATTTTTTGTATAAGATCTACAAATTCTTTTCCCTAAGCCATTTTTGATATGAATACAATATAAAAAGAAATTTGAAGTAAATTATCTTAATTTATTTCTCTCTATTTCTATTTTTAGAATTTTGGATGTATAATTCTTATAAATAACATTTAAAAAAGAATTTTTTTGAGGGGTCTACAAAGGTGATATTTGGTTATCTCATGTATTGGTCTGGGATTACAAAGATTAAATTAACTATTGTTATTTTAAAGACAGATTAACTAATCACGAGCTACGTCACAACAATAGTAATACATAGATAGTATAATATAAAACAAGCACCAAAACTACATTATATTAGCAAAACATGCAATTTACTATTTACATGCATTTTCTATTGTCTACTATTAATAATAACAATCAAGCGTAAAAAGCAACAGCACAGCTTATGATTCGATGTCACTACGAAGTCATTCACATCTTTTTGTGACAATTTCAAAACATCTTTCCTTAATATAGATTCGAATATGAGGAACCTCTTATATGTGAAGGATTCCCTAAGCATTTAATTATGTTTGCGAAGTATAATAATTAATTAAAAGCAGTAATTTCGATAAAACGTACATAATCAATAGATTTAAGGATAAAGTAATAAATTCAAGTAATTTATAGGCGATAAGATTTAGAATTTTGTACCCAAGATTTGAAAAATATGCAGTTTGTACCTACTTAATATGCGATTTAAGAGCAATCGATAAGGATAGTTTATATAAAGCAAGTGTTCATTATTCCAATGATGCACTGACACAAAACAGAGACATATTCAACAGAACACTAAATAAATACACACAGTTAAATTTTAGGTTTAATCGGGCCGGTGAAAACATCGATCGTAAGTTTATAATTGTTAGATAAAAGCATGTAGCATGTTATTGGTGTCCTTCAGAACGCCGTCATAGACAATTGTGCAAAGCGTCCAATGTCGTCATTATTTGTTGATTCAGGCAGCGTTTTTAGTCCTTAGTAAAAACAAAATATTTGAAAAAAAGGGCTTATCTGGCCAAATAAACTATGTACGTTTGAACGTAACAGCTGCAGGCGTGTGTTGAAGCTTGTTTGTGTATTGTGTACAGACTAATATTCCATTGACATCATTGATTGAAAAAAAGAATTCGATCGTTTTATACGAGCAGACATTCGTAATACTTAACGGCATTTTTTACACAATACTAATGAATAAGCTGACGGTGTCAGGTACAGATCATATTCTCGTATTATCGTATATCGTATACGATGATACGATACGTATACGATATGTATATGATACGATACGTATCTCGTATATCGATCATAGTCTTTAGTAACAAATGTTAAAACTCACCAAAAATATCTTCGCGGACATAAATCATGTGTATAGTGTATGAATTGTCTCTACATTAGCTATACTCATCATCACCATCTTTACAACCCATCACTTGCCGTATTGTTTGTGTGTAAACGTAATTAATAAATTTAGATGGTCCTAAGGCATCCGCGCTTATTAAAATAGATGTAAGGTTCAATTTACGTGTATTGAATGATTTTAGAATTCGAAGTAATACAACACGATTAATCGTCTTTACAATAACCTTCAAACTTTTGTAGTTTAAGAACAATTTACTTGTTCCTGAAATTATACCAAAGTTACCACATACTTTCAAACCTGAAAGATGAAGCGCTGCATAATTTTAAGTGACGCAAAAACCGAGAAAAAATCCATGTTCAACTTATTGAAAAAACACGCACTCACGTACGTACTCACGTATCTAAAATGATTCGCAAATAACAACATAGTTTTAGGTGCATATGCGTGCGTCTAGCAATGAACTTTTATTACGAACTGACAAAGGAAGAAAGAAGAAAGATGTATCAAGAAGTTGAGGATGGTTTCGGCATCATCATTTAAATATATGCAACACTCCGTCTATCTTTCCTTGTTCTTCTGAGCACAGATCATGTTAATCATCTCATAGGAGCCAGTAACAGGTAAAAAGGTCTAGAAGCATTTTTGGGGAAAAAATTCTTCTGAACATAGAGAGTGATAAGAGGATGTTGCTTGGAACCTTATAATAGAGATGAAGAAGGAAGTGGCAAAAAGGAATTAACCGACAGCCGATGGGAAATAAAGGTTCTCGAGTGATCTCCTACTAGATAAAGTAACACAACCTGATAAAAAATGCAGGATAACATTTTGTACAACAATATTTTGTGGCAATCTATAGGGGAGACATATGTTCAACAGTGGGCTTGTGAAGAGCTATTATATTGATTAATCATGATAAACAGCTTTTACTTGGCAGAAGTTTCCTTCCAATTCTGATGGTATTTTTTCTTTCCAATTGCGTTATAGCGGATTTCGCACATCATGTAGCCGAAATAATTTTAATACATAGGTTTAGGTTTCTTTCGTATTAAATCAGAATTCAATATTGCGTTCAACTCTGCAATATTTTTAACAGAATAAGAGCGACAAACGATCGCACAGTTCACCTGATGATAAGTGGATGATGTGGCCCAAATGTGATGTATCCTTATATCTAAATATTTTCTAGATTTAGAATCAAAATGCAGATGCGTTGTCACCCCTGAGGACTAAGATGAAATACCTTGTTTCCAGTAAGAAGGGTCTCCGGTTCTCTACGCTCACCGTATACCTTATATAGTTGTAGCATGGCTCTACCACGGATAAAATATAATAACACTGATCGACATTAAGTTAAGCACTTATATTGTGAATAATTTAGCGAGTTTGAATAACGAACATGAATGAAAATCAGATCAGTGATTGCGAACTTACTTTGAAATATTTGACCTGTACTTCAAAGACTATATACTATTTGTGTCATGGATGTAGTGTGACTATAAACACTTGTATGTAATGAATGTGGTGTGGTTTTAAACATTTTGTACACACGTCACTCCGCAAAACTCTTGTCTTACCTCCGTATCATCCATAGAGCTGGCTGTAGCCCTCCTTAGGCGAGAGGTTGGTGTTCTGGTCTCTGGTGTGCCTCCGGTCGGGGTACTAAAATGATTTTCGTCAAAAGTCAAAGATTCATCTATTATTTCAATTAATTCAACCTCTTCATCTTCAGCCTCTGTCGTTGTTCTTGGCTCTTGCGCACCATTAACCCTTGAGCTGTCTGCATTCTCATTACCTTCTGCCTCCTCGGTCAAATGTTCTGAGTTATCAGGTTGCACAGAAGTACTATCATTATGTTGTCCCCTATTTGGTAAATCAACATTATCGTTATCTCTTGTAGATTCTTCAGTATTATTAACATCAGCAATAATGTCTTCACTATCAACTTGACTAGTGCTAGCGTTATCATTTAGACATGCCTCTTGAGTATTTTCGATAGTGTTGACATTGGCCTCGTGCACCTCGACGTTGCTTTCAACTTCTGTACGTATGCTTATTTGAGCCTCAACAACATCGTTATCGTCGTCATTTCCATTTTCTCTTATATTAGTATCACAGTCATTGCTTAAATTAGCTGTCTCTGTAGGAACAATTTCGCCGGCCGGTTCTGGCGACCGGGTTGGTGTGGAGAATGGCGTGACCTCAGTAGAGGTGCTGTCCGCTCTCCTATCCCTTATATCCTCCTGTCAGACAGTTGTATTTGATTCTAACATGTATATAAATAATAGTGATCAGGACCATATCAATAAAAACCAATAATGTAATAAATTAGTGTTATTGACTTTATGTAAATTATCAAAACTAAGACTACCCTGAAATATATGATTTTTATATTTCGTTTAAAGTAACTATAAATTACAATCTAACAATTAATAGAGTTAATCGATACGGTTTTAAGTCAAAAGAACTTGAATTTTAAAACACCCAATGTTTTTTATTGCAATTATAAATTTTATTTCGCACATTTATCATGAGCAGCAAAATTGTCTATGATAAGGACAACATAATGATTCTGGAATTATCCACGATTTGTAACTTGAAACAGCAACGTGTTATTGAATATAAAAGGTGTAAGTGTAAACACCGTTGTCACTAAAACTATAGGTAGTTGGCTTTAATATTTATCCGATGATTTTTTTAAAAAAAACGCTATTTTCTTTCATAAAATTTAAAAGGTTTCTGTAAAAGGACTCCGTCCGTAAATTCATGGATACCCTATGCGCCCGAGTGACGTTATCACTGTAAATATCACCGGCCGCCCTAGCTACCTACACAACATTCCAATAATAACACAATAGGTACACATAACCTGTGATGTAACTCTTCCTTCATACTTTCATCCTGGCTTAGGACAGGCAAAAATTGAGGAATTAAGGAAAAAGTGAGATTTTACTTTTAAAAAAATATTGTTATTTTTCATTGAATTTACGTTCTATAAGTGAAACCAAACCACTGGTTTTAAGGATAACGGTGTTTACACTAACACCTTGTAACAGAAGCTAAGAGGTATTTGTAAGACGCTAGCCATAGGCGACCGTTGCCGCTACAAATTAGGTTAAAATTGAGTTGTTCTCCTATTGGATTTCTACCATGCAAGCACCTGTTATTTTGCAGTGTGACCAATAAATCAAAATGGTACATAAAAATGCTAGCGTAAAAAAGTTACGGGAACAATCATCTGAGTCTAACCGGTAAGTAGATAAAAGTTCTTAGCTTGTTAGATATTTTTATTAAGTAAAGAAATACCGTAATTTATAAAAACAAAAAGAGTTGTTGCTGTTGCAAGCTACGCTACATCAAATGCATACATGATTCCTCTGTTAGTATGCAAATTTATGACATGAATGAATATTATTACGCAAGTGTGTTCTTTGCAATATCTTGGAGGAGAGTTTCAGACACATATTTTATTGATGTTAAAAAAATATTTTTATATTTATTCTTCGGAAATTCAAATTCAGATTAATCTAATATCCGTCAAGATACAAAAATAGGTTTCGTTAAATCGTTTTAATGTTAGTTCTCTCTCATCCGTAGAGGCCCATGCTGCGATAAAAATAAAATTCATTGAAAATATAAAACCGCACACTAAATGCTTTAAATGTATTCAGGTACAAATTCTACCAAGTTAGGTTTTTCATTTTGCCCATTGTAAAATAATTAAAATAATTTCAACCAAAAAATAAAAAGTTCTTTAAATTGCAAGTTACCAATAATATAAATTGATATTTGCCAATAAAATTTCAACAAATAAATATTAATAAAATGCATAATGAATATATCAGGTAATCGACTAACATATCATAATATTAACGTGCTTGTGCATGCAATATTTAATATTCATAAGTGTCAAACAGTAGATCATGCAAAATTCACATAACAAATAGAATACCAAAAATTATATGCGTAACAACTATGTCGTTAGAGAACGTTATTAAACAAATAAGACATGAGATACTTAACTACTATAAAAATATAAATCACTTTAGAAATATGGATGATGTTAAGTGGAAATGCGGGCTGGAAGAAATATTAAGAAAAGGTTTTTAATGATCTATTGCTGTCGAGCTGTGCCCGAACGACCGAGCTAAGCAACCGAGAGAGACAACTACATCTCGGACTGATTTATACTTATGAAAAATAGACAAAATATCATCCGCTGTTTCCTCCTCCAATACTGGACCGATTTTAATATATTTTTTCAAGAACAAAATAATAAGGATTGTGCCTTTGTATGTTTTTTAAACGTTATCCTTACACTAGGATTTACACAGTTTACAAACATAAGTTGCACAAGAACAAACATCCGGACCCGGAACCATTATTTGTAGTCCATACAAATACTAGTTACGTGCGAGATTTGAACCCGCGGCCCCCGATGCAGCAATTCATTGCAAAGCCACTGTGCCACGGATGTTTGTCTTGTGTTTTGTTTCCTGGTTATCGAACAACGGCGCAATAACTGAACATTAAAGTAATTTTACAAGATTTCCAGTTTTTAAAATAAGTAATTTGTGGACAAAAAAGTTGGTATTCATGGGTCACTTAATAGATATAGTTTAAGTATCCAGGAAGAAAACAGAAGAATACATATTTATGGACTTAACGCCACCCGGATATCCTCTTAATATGATTTTTTAATCCCACAAAACGAAAAAGGCGACAAAGCGACAAGAGATTAGAATCCGCCAAACGGTAAATGGCCATCGCTGCCCATAAACATATTTAAATGAAGAAGGCTACAGATAGATACGTTGCCTTCGCGTGGACTGAAATATATTTTTTATAGTCTATATTCAAACTAATTTTCTTACCATTCAAATCGGAACACAGCATTACGTTGCTGCTTAGCTGCAGAAATATTATTTTAAGATAGTTTGTAACAATAATCTTACAATAATACAACCTTAAAATAATATTGAAATTGTATTATTTAGTTTATTCTTTATCTTCAAAATAAATCTGTCGCACACCACTTTTGGACACGAGCAACTCTCAAATTGATGAGGTTTTTCACCCAGTTTAAGTCTTGTAAGTTTCATTCATAGTAATAGAAATAGCTCGAAGATGCTGGCAATGGGGTATGTCCATCTCGAATATACCATTGTCATAATCCCATATCTAGGTGTAGCACGCAGAGAAACTCCGGCTATAATAGCCCTCTCCATAGCTCGCTGAGCGACCTTGAGCTTCCTCATACGGTCAGCAGTGAAGAAGAGAGAGTTTATATATAAGATAAATAACGAGGCGGATCTTAATCATTAAAATAGTATTTTTTATTAGTTAGTCTTTACCGTTTTCAAACAATACAAATTGAAGCGCAGATAACATTAAAAGGTTAGTAAAAATATAAAGATAAATCACCAAATAGTTAATTAAATTTAAAAAAAATAACGCCCTCTAATTAAAATACTGTTTTACATTCCAAACTAATTTAGTGAGAAAGTTGTTAATGCATCTTTAAGTTAATTTTCTTTGTCAAACATTCTTTGGGCAACTTTTTTCAAAATACTAAAAATCAAATTCAACATTGCATGACCGTGCATAATGTGCATTTTAATAATTATAATAAATATAGTATGAAATGTCTCATTCTGAAAATACATCAACTTTCCCGCTCAAAAAAATTAAGCCTCTATCACTAGAGCCTTAAAAAATATTCTCGTTTGCGCGATTATTAAACTGACACGGTAAGGCGTTACTAAAAGCAATTAAATTTAGTGTAAAACAGTACGTAAGCTGTTTAACATAAAGTTGCATTTGAATTGTCTCGACACAAACCTGATGATTGGAGGCTGAAGGGCTGGACGTGTGCTCCTCGTCGGCCGAAATGTGAAACCGCCTTTGGAACTCGGTGGCTGCCGTTTCCATACGTTCCGCTTGTGTTTCCGTGCTAATGTTACGGCTGATGACACAATGAAAATAACATTACTTGCGACAGACCCTTTTTACTGGAAACGAAGCATTCCATCTAAGTTCTCAAGAGTGAAAACGCATCTGCATTTCAATTTTTAATCGAGGATTGATGTTTATGGGCCACAGCATACACTTACGATCAGGTGGACTGTATGCTTGTTTGTCAACGTTAGTAAAGAAGTAAAGTTACAGCCTATATACGTTCCACTGCTGGGAGAAGGCCTCCCCTCATTTCTGAGAGGGTTTTAGGGCAAGGAAGTGTCCGCCGCGCTGCCCCAATGCGTGTTGGCGAACTTCACATGTCTTCGAAATATTTTTTCCTATTCCTCAGACATGCAGGTTTCTTCACGATGTTTTCCTTCACCGCCGAGCAAGTGGTAAATCAACACTTGAAATTGCAATTAACAATTTCATTGGTGCCGGCGGGAATCGAACTCGGGTTACTCGCGTTCTGTTATATTTACAGCGAGCGTTAACCATCTGAGCTACCATGGCTCTTTGTCAACGTTATTTTATAAAAAAACGCATGTCCAGGAGTGGTTAACAGTCCACAGCTGGGGAAATGCTGGACAAATTAAAAAGAAGTCCGTGGGTTCCGAACTCATAATCGTAAAATGTTCAGTTAGAGATTCCTTTTCCATACTTACGTGAAATTCGGCCGCTCCCATTGCGTTGATCTTGCTATGTGATTGACATAGTACGTCCTCCCGTTAGCGTCCTGCCTTTCTTCCCAGCCCGGTGGTAATGGATCCCCTCCAATAGTCTGGAACAAAAACAGCAATAATAAATAAAACTACAACGAGAAACGTATAAGAACAATAAATATAGTTCTTCACACATTTTACAATGCCTCATTTTGGGGCGAATTTCGTATAGTGATAGCGTATACACTCTTGTTTGATTATATGTGATAGTATGCACGATTTATAAGAAATCTGCCCTTTAGTATTATTTTATTGATAACAATAGATCTTTTAGGCCGCAGTGATACTGGTCTCTTTCTCTAGACCTGCATAGCTGCTCGCACATTATTTTATTGTTAGTATAATATTTTTCTTATATTTCTTTCATATTCTGTACGACGAGAGTTGATAAATATTATGGAAACGTCACGCACTAGCGACCGTCGCAAAAGTATCGCAATTCATGTGCCAGGCGTCGCTCGTCGCCGTATAACACGTACACGTACAACATTTTTTGGTACGAGGCTCGCAGCTGTTGTCAAGCGCGAGGCCGAGCGAGCGAGCGAGCGAACGCGGCGGCCAGCTATCAGCAAAATAATTAGCGAGCCGCAATTTTTACAAATGTTTCTTTTTTTTTACTAACACTTGTTACACACACCATAAGTTAGTAACAACTGGACACAAAATTATTAAAGCCTATTCACACAGGGACAAAAATTATGGTCCATCGTCTTATGGAACTCGTTACCGTTGCAGCATATCAAAAGTCCCCTGCTGAAGATAGGCGTCCTCCGAGGATTTCCCCATAAGACAGATATTTGCCACAGTCACCACGCTTGGTTGTAGGTTGGCAAAAGCAGTTTTAATATTTTCAGTTGTTATTACGTTGACGCTACTGCCCATCTCACGGTTTCTTCTGCCACCTTTTACTACACTCACGAGAAGATAGTAGTAGTACATATTCCTAGACCGCCACTACAAGACTTATGGAACTCGTATAAAACGTGTACATAAATAAAACTGGCAAATAGGCAATGGGCATACACAAAGTTCAAAAATGTTGTTAAACTAAGTTTGTATAAAAAGGGTTATTATAATATTAAGGAATTCATGGATGATAATAACCCCTGGGAAGGGTGATCGCTACCATACTATTTCTAATTTGTCTTGTGTTGTTAATTGTAAACATGATGTAAGCTAATATTTGAAAAAAAAAATAGTGTCGCTGGGTTTCTTACTGGTTCTTTCCAGGACTGAGTTCTTTTGCTAACCAGTGGTAAATGAAAAAAGTGACTGAATAAGTAAGTTATTATATCTACATTGGGTAAAAAAGTTTCTGTTTCTGTTTCTGAAGTTTATTCTGTTGACAATTATCCGTAGGACTCTGTTCGGGCTTCCTCGCACGTGTCTTACTAAAGACTCTAGTATTTTATTGCGCACGATTGCGTAAAAACCTTTATACTACTTGGAAAAATAAAATCCATTTTATTTTTCCGGGTAGTTTACCTTGTGTTTCCCATCCTTTCTTCAATTTGTGTTTGCTACATAATAAAGCCACGCTGCGGATACCTACGTTATAGTTAAAAATCAGCCAGGTAAAAACCATGCTCATACAGAATACTAGTGTTAAATAGCAAATTAATGCCGCTGTGTTTCGTACGTTGAGTTTAGATAACCGAAGACCCTTTTTACTGGAAACGAGGCATTCTATCCTAGACCTCAGGCGTGACAACGAATCAGCATTTTGATCCTTAGTCGACGATACGTACAAGTTTGTTAGATTTACATTTTATTTTTAAATTTTATCCATTCAGATGTATTGGCAAATATATTCATTTTGATTTCAGATTCCAAAAGCCATATACTATACTGAAGAATAAAAAGGTTCTTATTAGAAAAGCTGAGGGCAACATGAGAACTTAAAGAAATAAATCTTCAATACAATTTCTTTTAATCATATTATTTAAATACGTTTTTTTTTTTGAGGTCTGCTTTTTTTATTATCCTCCCCCCTCCCCCCACCAAGGCGGGGGGAGGTGCGCTTTCCCGCCCTTAGATTTTTTTTTTGCCCCCTTTCGGCGGGGGTATTATTCGGTTTTCCTTTCCGCCGTTATTAATTGTAATGAATTAAAGTTAGTTTATTTATTTTATTCTTTATTGCATCCTTAAACAAAAGAATACAAAGGGCGGACTTAATGCCTTGAGGCATTCTCCACCAGTCAACCCATCAAAGTTACAGTTTCTCATATGTTTGAATGTTTTTATACTAGAGAAGTTTTTTTATGCTATTTTATATACATAACAAATAATTTAAAAAAATTATATGAAAATGAACTTCAGTTTGATTAAGTAGAATTGTTATAAGCTTGGAACTGTTCATTTAGTTTATGTATTGACTTAGAAATGCTAATGTATTATAATAATAATATATAAAATACATACTTTATAAAAGTATTTGACGGCCATGACTTTACGCAATAATGCGGAAAATCTAAGCCTTTATATTCAAGCGTAAATATATAAAAGATTGGAAAATAAATTTAAAAGAAAACACCTACTAAATAATTCAAGTATGATGTCTCGACAAACTCCCAATCATCGTCTCCGGTAATGGAAGGTACCGTCTGACACGACGTTGCAACCTAATAGTGCAAAACTGAGCTTTATGAGTATTCAAATTAGAAGTATCTTTCTGCTTGAGGCAAATAAAATCAAATCAATAAAATCAACCTATTTACAAATAGTGTTTTTAATAAATCCTAGAGTGATAGTGAAACACTATAATTTTTACAATTTTTTAAGCCGACACAAAAAGTACTTTTAATTTATCGTTTTAAATTTTTGCGTGAAAACGCTAGCCGCCGTGGCGTTAAGCTCGTGACGTCACTGCCCTAGTAAATAAAACGTTTGATGCAAAGGAATAAGACATTTTTAGATGTTTAATTGACTATATCATTGGTATGTTGTGCTTGAATGCAAAAGTTAATATATTACGAAGTAGTCCTTAGTATATTATAGTACATTCTGCTTTTACGAATCTATCTTCCGTGAAGCATTTTCAAATAGAATGAATAAAATCAATAATCGCGATGATAACTTGAAAATTTTTGAAATAACACACAGCTTGTTTACTACAAAATTGACGTCACCATGGGATCTAATATGGCGGATAGCGTTTTTTTTTTTTTTTGTAGATTTGAAGCATAGACTAAAAAAATCTTAAAATTGAAGTATAAAATTTATAATGCATTTTTATAAATAGAAATCAACATTTCTCTTTTACTTTTTACAAAACCTATCGTAAATATGTATCTTTTTATTTTTTTACATACAAAATACCCTATTATTTTCCCAAAAAGGTTTAGTTATCAATCTGTACACTGAATTAGTTTAGTTATAGAGTGCAAGGACAAAGAACGTAGTAATAAATATTTATTAAAACATGTAGGATGGTTCTTTTCCTCAATGGTAAAGCACTGACCATTTATTGTTACGTTAAATGTAAAGTCGGCGTGTTCTATGTTGGCCAGAACAAAGGCTTGGCTCTCCGAGACATTTGCGATCCGATTATAGTAGTCTGGCGAGGAGACGATAGAGAAGTGCTACTTTAGAAACAATTTGTTAAAACTAATAGTTTATAGAGTGCAAAAAAATAGATATGAAAATGAAATAACTCCAAGCACATGCAACTACTGCAATACAATATTCGCGACATACGCTTTATCACGTAGCAATAGATTCTACTTTGAATTTACTTTCCATGCATACTTCTTTACCATTTTCAGTATAAATTCAGCCCCAACAGTCATCGAAAACAAAGTAGGTATTCGTTGTGCTCGAATTCAACAAATATTGTGTATATTTTATAACATTATTTATAAAAAGAAAATACATAACAAAGCTAAACAATTACCATTGACTGAATACAGACGTTCATAAAACGAATTTCGAAAATCCTTAACAACAAAAATACCTGTAAATCGTGTTCTCATAGGAATTTCTGATGACACAAACTTAATACTTGGTGGCCACTTGTGAGATGAAAATAAAGTGATTAATTCGAAACTTTTTTACATCGTTATTGAGCTATTGATATCCCTTCTAATCTACTTTTAAACTACATCTAACGTTCTGACGACGGGATAAAAAAATTAAGATTTTTAAATGCACAACTTCCAAACTGAACTCCCAAATAATGCTAGTTATTTTGTAAAATATAACTGCTATAAATTCATAGTTATGATGTTTAGAATCTCCAATTGTAAACATAAAAGCTATCTACTTAAAAATAATTAAAAGTGCGTTATTCTCACCGGTTGTACGGTCCCAGTCTGTGGTTCCGGATCGACCATCTCCCAACCATCTGGCGCCGACGCACCTGCATTTGCTTGAGCTTCCTCCTCCGTTTCACCGACGCGCCCCACCAAGGCCGCGTATACCTCGATGTAACCACGTACACGTGACCTTGCACTGTATACATATATATTTGACGAAATATATAAATGAATCATTTGTAAGTACCTACTTTGTGAAGAATCGTCATAATGAAAATACCCACAACCATATGGATTCGATCTCGATTGCTTATTGAGTTACCTACAGGCTGCAGTGACTACACACAGCCCACCCGTTTTACATGACCAGCAAGTGGGCTGTGTGTAGTTTAAAATCAAAGTCGTATATATCGAAGTTGATATATCAAAACAATCAAACTCATTATAACTAGATTATTCCTCCCTTTGGTTATAACTGTGAGGTCGCGAGTAATGCTATTGACATGGTAAGGATTCCGTTAATTATTCCAACTGAACTTGACAAGTTTCTCCTCTTACATAAAGGACATCCTTAGACAATGGGTGCGTTTGGCAGAAAAAAGCGCTAGTAACCGCTTACAAGCGCTAAAATAGTTTTCGGCCACGACACGATTGCTACTTCAGTAGCGCTGACACAATCCGCCATTTTGCTTATTTAATTTGTTTGTTTCGAAGTAGAGTTTATAAGTTGTTTTGTGCAATATTAGTTTTAAGTAATATAATGACATGAATAGACATATACATGTTATTAAAAATTCATGATTGGTAAGTTTTTAATATGAATACTTTACAAACATATATTTAAATTAGGTAGGTTCCCCGGTTAAAACTAACATCGTGTCCTGGAGGAAAATAGCTGCTTACGATTTGACAGCGCTTACCACTTACGATCGCCATTTTGCTTACAAGCGCTTGCTAGCGCTTTTTTCTGCCAAACGCACCCAATATGAAATATCGAACCTTACAGCATAAAGTTGTAAAATAGCCGACAGTGTGAGTGTCTAAAACGAAGGTTTAGAAAATAAATATATACAAAAAACTGCCCAAGTAACTGAAAGTTTACGCACTTTTAACCACGCAACTAAAATCATTTCAACGAGTTTTAAATTAAGTGGCAATTTACGAGTACAATAATAGGATCTCGATAAAAGTGCTGGTCTCCCCTAAGGACAATATTAGGACCAACACTTTATTCTAAAACTAGACAATAATATAACACTTTTTGACACTGTTTATTCTAACTTAAAACAATTCAAATCACATCACATTAATAAATATAAATACATCTAGGAAAACATTTATCTACCAGTGCATACAAGCTCACACGTGAAACTTGAAGCGGATTGAAAGAAAGCAACACACAGAATTCCAGTAAAACATTCATAAGTAAAATATTCGTAATTTAAGTCAAACAGAATTTAAATCCAAAGGATATTAAAAAACAATAATTTTATTAATTAAGGGATGATTTTTCAATCATCGGATAAGTTATCCGTGAAATTAATTATAACCTCACTGAATATAAAAGTGAAACAGTTGAACTTTCATATGTCTGAAACTTTTAATTTTTTATGTTGTATTTTATCCTGTAAATAACTTGTATCTAAAGATTGACAAATTGGTCCTAAATCATAGTTCACATTATACTTCAAATCCTATACCTTTAAACGAGCAATTCTTGTATATGTATAATCGGAATCTTGGAAACGGCTCCAACGATTTTCATAAAATTTAGTGCCCAGGGAGTTTCGGGGGCAATAAATCGATCTAGCTAGGATTTATTTTTAGAAAATGTCCTTTTGTCCGTGTTTTCAGGCAATATAAAAACTGCTACAATATAAGAAGGTAAATGTCGACAGATCACAAACGATCGTTATAGCTCAGGTGGGATGTCGGTCGGGCGTGATATCGGAGTTCCGTGGTTCGCGTCTTGTCGCTGGTCTAGCTTTTTTCCTTTTTTCTTCAAGTTCCCTTCTTTTGTGAGAAAATCTATTATTTCAAGCCCTTATTTTAGTAATTTTTAAAAATACGAAAATTTTAATAAAACTCATGACTTTTTATTCAAATAATCAGTTCAGTTTTTTTTTCTATTCTGTCAATAAGATCAAAAAATATTATTTAAGTTTCATCGGTATGTAATTTATAAATGTAATTTCAAAAAAAACTGAGCAAAGCTCGGTCATCCGCGTACTTAGTAATCAATACATATATAGATCAACAACTTTAACAATAATGTATGTCCCTGAAATTACAGGTATCACATGAGTAATGTGAGTCAGACCTAATTGATTGTTTTTGAGACGTCTATTTCCATCAAAGTGCACAAACACATATGAAAATGAAATAACTCCAAGCACATGCCACTACTGCAATACAATATTCGCGACATACGCTTTATCACGTAGCAATAGATTCTACTTTGAATTTATTTCCATGCGTACTTCTTTACCATTTTCAGTTTAAATTCAGCCCCAACAGTCATCGAAAATAAAGTAGGTATTCATTGTGCTCGAATTCAACAAATATTGTGTATATTTTATAACATTGTTTTTAAAAAGAAAATACATAACAAAGCTAAACAATTACCATTGACTGAATACAGACATTCATAAAACGAATTTCGAAAATCCGTAACAACAAAAATACCTGTAAATCGTGTTCTCATCAGAATTTCTGATGACACAAACTTAATACTTGGTGGCCACTAGTGAGATGAAAATAAAGTGATTAATTCAACACTTTTTTACATCGTTATTGAGCTATTGATAACCCTTCAAATCTACTTTTAAACTACTTCTAACGTTCTGACGATGGGATAAAAAAATGTAAGACTTTTTTTATGCACAAGTCCGAAACTGAACTCCCAAATAATGCCAGTTATTTTGTAAAATATAACAGCTATAAATTCATAGTTATGATGTTTAGAATCTCTAATTATAAACATAAAAGCTATCTATTTAAAAATGAGGGAAAAACAAACGCATCGCATGCTAAAGTCTCTACTTACACAGACCTGCGCGGACGTAGTGGGTACTTAGCGGGAGGTGGGCGGGGAACTGAGGGCCATTCTGTTGGAGCACCGGCCAACGGTATCTCCACCATACCGAGGAAATCATCCCTCGTCAGTCTGTTCTCATCGAAAACCTGTATTAAAATCTTATGCTCTTGCGGTTTCACCTGGAAAAATAACCATTTTCTAGTTTTCAAATTATATTGACATCAGATAATAAGTTTGTACTCGTAATCTCGTAAGGCCTTGCTAGGTATATTTTGTATGAATGGGCAATCCATTGCCGGCCTTCTATCACTTCGACATAATTATCCTGCAAAAAAACGAAGTTCATAGGACAGCCCACTGCAAAAAGATAAATATGTTTTATGAATGGATAAACATAGAAAAAAATCTATAGTTTTGAGATGATGAAAACACCCTGTCTTACATCTCTCTGCTGTTGGATGGGTTTCGTAATCTGGTTCTGTACTCGGATAGCTATCGTAGCCCTACTGTACAAACACTTCAGCACTTTGATAATGTTTACTTTGTTAGTTGCCACGCTTGGATACCTAGGCTGCACTAAAAGTATCGGGAATGGAATATTTCCACTGTTCCTGTCATATTAAAATCTTTTTAATTGAAAACTCCTTGGTTTTAAAGATCGAATACCATTTATTTATTTAAAAAAACATTCTCGCTCTTGTCAGAAGCTTTTGTCAAAATTGTTTAGTCGTTGAGAAAATGGAATTGACTCGAGAAAATTCAAGAGCGATAATTTATTATGACTTTCGAAGTGATTTGGTGATGAAGCCCCATCCAAAACCACAATTTATCGCTGGTTTGCTTAATTTCAACGCGGATCCCCGTCAAGGTCGTCCAAAAACTGCAGTCACCCAAGAAAACGTTGATGCTGTGCGTAAGCTGATTGAGGAAGATCGACATGTGACATACCGCGAAATTCAGGCAACTTTAGACATTGGCATGAGTCAAATACAAATAATCTTGCATGAACAATTAGGTGTAAAAAAGTTGTTTTCCCGATGGATACCGCATTCGCTCTGTGAAGAGCAAAAAGCGGCTCGCGTTACTTGGTGCGTCAGAACTCTCGAAAGATTCCACGCAGGATCCTCAAATGCTGTATACAACATCGTATCAGGTGACGAATCCTGGATATACGCGTACGAACCCGAAACAAAAAACCAGTCACTAGTTTGGGTGTTCGAAAATGAGTTAAAGCCAACAAAAATTGTTCGTTCATGGAGTGTTGCAAAAAAAATGGTGGCCACGTTTGTCTCCAAAACCGGCCATGTTACGACTATTCCTCTTGAGGGACAAAAACGGTTAATGCAAAATGGTATGCTAGCATTTGTTTGCCACAGGTCGTTTCTGAACTCCGTAAAGAGAACTGCAACCGCCGCATCATCCTCCATCACGACAATGCGAGTTCTCACACCGCACACAGAACAAAAGAGTTTTTAGATCAAGAAAACATAGAATTATTAGACCATCCGCCGTACAGCCCCGACCTAAGCCCTAATGATTTCTATACTTTCCCTAAAATAAAGAATAAATTGCGTGGACAGAGATTTTCATCACCTGAAGAAGCTGTGGACTCCTACAAAACGGCCATTTTGGAGACCCCAACTTCCGAATGGAATGGTTGCTTCAATGATTGGTTCCATCGTATGGAAAAATGTGTCAAATTTCGCGGAGAATACTTCGAAAAGCAATAAATACATTTTTAAATAGTAATGTTGTGTCACTTCCTTGATTCCCGAAATTTTCAGTGCCGCCCTCGTAGCGAATTGGCAGTTTATCATTTCCAAGAATACTGCAATAGATATTTAGAATTTTTTCTTTTCTATTTCATTAGCCCATTAAAATCCACATGAGCCTCTCTCATAGACGGACTGACGATCGCAGTACCAAATGTCTCACACTTTTGACGCTGCTTTCCGTTGCCGTCGCGGCTGGGTATTTCACGTCTGACGTTAACGCAATGGTAATACTGCCATTTCGACTGCCTTGTTGGTCTAATGGTTGTAGTAGTGCGACTGCTGATCATGAGATCCTACGTTCGAATCCCGGGTCGGGTTAAAAAATCAATTATTGAGTTTTTCCGTCAAGAAATTCTCTGTAGCTGCCCAGAGTCAAGAAGTTGGCGGTGACTCATCCCCGTACCTCGGAAAGCACGTAAATCCGTTGGTCCTGCGCCTCCTCTCTCTCCGGTCGTGTCGGTTTACCGTCACATCGGATTATGAGAGTAAAGGAATAGAGAGTGCACCTGTGCTTGCGCATAAACTTGGGCACTATAATCCTGATAATATAGATAAGTATAAAAGTATAAATGAAGATACCAACCTTGAATAAAAACTCTTGATTCCATACTGGATTTAACGTCTGTGGAAAAAGTTCAGTTTTAAAGTTCAAACACGATAGAAGCAATTTTTAATATAACTTTAACAATTTAAACCTGTATTTACGCGAACGAAACTCACCTAACATCATTTAATTATTTTTATAAACGCACACTCATTATTAATTTTGACGACTCCGTGGCGCAGTGGCTTAGCAATGAGTAGCTGCGCTGGGGGTCGCGGGTTCGAATCCCGCACGGAACTATTAATTGTATGGCCTACATATAGTTGTTCCGGGTCTGGATGTTTGTCCTTGTGCAATTCATGTTTGTAAACTGCACCCACGATACAAGAGAAAATCTTAGTGTAGGGGTAACGTTTTTAAAACGGAAAAAAAAAAAAATTGGCACGCAGTAAGTCGGCATAATAATTATAGTCCTTGCGTTGTAGCGTGATGCGGATGAAAGGTTGACAGGTCACTTGAGTAATGATTTCTTAAATTTACGCGAACACTACACATTGAGTAAAACTAAATTTACGGATTCTATCGCGTTATGTTCATGATCGTCCCCACCATTACATCAGATTTGATAAACCACAAATCCTCGCAAAAGAATACCGATTCCTACCAAGGATTATACGCGAGGCTATTAAATTAAAGAAAGAAAGAAGGCTATTAAATTAAAGAAAGAGAAGATGGATGAGTGCTGCCATCTGCTTGGGATCCTATAATTAACAAAATTAAACCCAAACCCAAGCATACCTCTGCAAGACTTCAAGATACTGTAAGCTCGTTTTGCGTAAATCGGGCCAAAAATTAATATTCAAAAACTGAAGGTAGCCGGGCTAACAATGACATTGGGACGTCAAACATCTCAGTCTTCACCGTGACCATGGTTGCTGTAAAGCACCCGAAACGTCGGGAATTAAAAATAAGTAAAAGTAGTTAATTAAACGCGATAGAATCCGAAAATTTAGTTTTATTCAAGGTCACTTGAACCTTACGTGCGTGCGTTTGCAAGATATGGCAAAATTTTCAACTATGAGAAAATAGCACTATATTTGTGTTTATTTTCTCTAATCTGCGATGACTATTATATTAACATTAACTTCAAAAATCTCATCTAAAGTAGTTTTTTGTTACTAATAAAATTTTAAAAGATAATTTATTTCACTTGCTTGCGCAGTTACGTACTTGCTAACTACTTAAAAATGAGGGAAAGTAAATTAAAAGTAGTAGTAAAATGCTATTTTAGTACGTGTGGTGCAATACCGTCATATTCATGTAAATTGTAAAAATCGTCATTGGTAAAATTAAGAAAAAGAAATTAAATATTTTTATATTTATTCCGCCATTTTGTTGTCCCTGCTTAAAGAAATCTCGAAGGCGAATGACTGAACCCCCGTTTGACTCTCTTTAACAATTGTTTGTTCGTTTTGGCATTTTAAATAAACAAACTCAGCAAATAGCAAAAATAAACTTAATAAAACACATAAATAAACTTAATAATCGTAAGTAAAAGCAATATTAACTCAACCGGAAATTACAAAACTGCCGATAGATACTTCATACAAAGTGCCAGGCATAGTTTTTCACATTAGTGTTGCCAGGTGTCCCGATTTGCGCGGGATGTCCCGATTTTCAGGAGTCTGGTGACACGTCCCGATTCACCTTTCATCGGGACGTCAAACGTCCCGATTTTTTAACCTTCTTAAAATCGCTGCATACATAACGTATTTTATTCCGGACGAAGCGGGACGTGAAATTTTGGAAATATCGTTTCATAGAAAATGTACGTGATAATGCATACGTTACGGATGCACGGACAGGACGGGACGTGGCATGAACAGGACGGGAAAAATATCGTCGCTGATGATGTTTACCCCGTCCCGCCCGGCACGTCCTGTTCACCTTCTTGTACTGTTTTATGCCACGTAGGATGTACAGAAATATTTCATATTTACCTACTCACCAAACTCGGACTTACATAATCAACATCAAAGTTTTAAACTTTACGCGTATTATGTTGACGAGATACAGATATCATTCATGCTGTTTCGTTTTTTCTCTCGCCGAGTGTTGCCGCCCGCCCAGCCACGCTATGCCTCGACGTCATCAATTCTACCATTATTTATTATTTAATTCTTTTACTAGTAATTATTACAGTACCTAACTTATACATGATGCGATTTAGACAAGTGCATTTACAAACATTCACTAAGGTCTTTCGGGTTAGTTCTTCCACTAGTCAATTTCTTAATTGGTTGTACGTACTTGTTTTCAATAAATAAAGTGACATTATGCGTGCCATGCAAGAATTTTATCTGGGCGTTTGAGATTATAATTTGATTATGAATGAATGTGCGTTTTTATTGTATGATGCCGTTTTTAAGGGTTTTTTGAATTGCACAACATTTAACACAACATTAAAATGAGTCATTCTGAAACTTCAGTCTGCTAATCGCTGCTGTCAATAGCTAATCGCTCAACAAATTCTGATTTGACGAATGTGAAGTTTTTCCCACGTTTGGGAGACAAATTATTCGTTTATTAGCTCAGTCGCAAAAAATAATTATAATACAAATTGCGCATTGTGTCAAAAAGACTTTACTCATGGTGGCCAAAATGGCTACAAAAAATACTACTACCGGACGGCACTTGTACCTTGAACAGCTGCAAATGTAGTCAACGCCGTACTGAAAATCACAGGTGCTGCATTATTCTTGACATTTGTTTTAATGTCAAGAAAAATATCGCAATTAACATAAAATAGAAGCTGATTTTTGGTTTCAAATTAATACATAATATAATATGTAACTATAATGTCATAATTTGTATTATACTGTAACTAAAACTTAGTACTACTTACTTGCATAGTAATTTATAAATAAATATGTGTTGCACTCTAAATTTCTTATCGATAGCTAATCGATAACTTTTGTATTGCTTTGTATATCGATAATCGCCTTTATTTAAATCGATTTAACATTATTATATCTCCAGAAAACGCTAAACTGAAAGCTATCACCCGCCCTATGCTATAACGCATGAACTATAACATTTATCAAAATAAACCTTATAAACTTATGATGTATTTAATGTCGGATAATGTGTAAAACTCGATACGTACACAAACAACATAGAAAGCCACTACTGGAAATTCATGAAAATGAAAAAGATTCAACCTAAATGCCACCGTTTCGGCGCTGTCGTTGAGCCACAAGCGAAACAAACTGAAGCCTAAATCACGATATCAACATTTCCAAAGTACCCTGGTATATATAGAATAGCTCTGTACCTTGCCCGGCGAGAGATCTGACCTCTTCTATCCTACTTTGGCCACGGGGCATAAACACGCTTGGGAGGGACTGTATTTTACCACTTTTTATAAAGTTACTTTCTTGTTTGTCTGTCCGGAATTCAGTAATTGATTTTAAACTTATTTTCCAATAAGCTGAAAACTTGAAATGTTGAAAATAGCTCAAATTCGGATGACAATCCAAGATTATGGTAAAAAACGTGGTATATTTCAAAAATACAATTTTTTAATACACTTGTTAATGTCTAAAAGTATATCAAGCGAGCGAGAGATTTGACGACTCCGTGGCGTAGTGGCTTAACAATTGAGTGGCTGCGCTGGGGGTCGCGGGTTCGAATCCCGCACGGAACAAGTATTTGTATGGCCTACAAATAATTGTTCCGGGTCTGGATGTTTGTCCTTGTGCAATTTATGTTCGTAAACTCATACAGGAGATACAGGAGAAAATCCTAGTGTAGAGGGGTAACGTTTTTAAAAAAGAAATAAAAAATAAAGAGTAGACCATATTGACCCTATCCTTATTGATGGAGGTGTTCAGGTCATCTCATAAAATCGAGATAAATTATTGTTTCATGGCCAATGACTAGGCCGTCGGCATTGAATACTAAAATTTTGTAATAATTTTTATAATAAACGTCTTTATCAATTTCACTCATTATTAATTATTAGAAAGTTACGTAACCTTTTTCTTGGTCTTCGTGAGGAACGTCGTAACCGTGACATCACCTTCGATTTTTTGTAGCTCAATACGGACGTAGGGATCACTGCAAAAAAAATAATCTTTCATCAATATGCAACGTTATTAAAGGTATGCTATCAAGGGAAGTGTTACATGAGCTCTTATGCGAGCATATTGCTGTCAGTCTTGCATTAATCTACAAAAGTTTACACGCGGTAGAGCCACGCTGCAGCTGTATTATGGTGGCACCACGAATGGCTTGGCTCGACCGAGGATGGGCGACGCTTTCACAGAATACCAGCATAATACAACAGCTTAATGCTTTTGTTCTTTATTCATACCACTGCAATTTCTTGAAAGTTCTATACCTAACAAGAGAAAAGGTATACGTAGTCCTGTATATAGAAATGAAGAGTACATTAAGACGTCAAGGTTTTTTTTAGAACGAGTGACAAATGGGCACACAGCCTCCTGATGGTAAATGGATGCTGTGTCTTATAGACATCCATAAGACAGTAGAAGATGACGATGTACATCTAACATCGATGAACTAAAATGCAGATGCGTTGTCACCCCTGAGGACCAAGAAGGAATGCCCCGTATCCAGTATTAAAAGGGGTCTCCGGTTCTCTACACTCAGCGTACGAAGCACAACACAGCAGCGTTCAGCTGCTATTTTACGCTATGAATGTATTTTTTCCAAAGTAAGTAAAACATTTTAATGCAGTTTAAGGATAATAGTATATATATATATATATATATATATATATATATATATATAATACATATTATATATATATATTTACTATCGGTTAAGTAGGAATTATCAGTCATTACCTCTTAATTTTAATATTTTATACGAAAAACGCATCATTTAAGATAAATTCATATCGAAGTTTTTTCCATGTGATAAAAATCACAAACATTTAAACAAAGGTATAGCAACAACAAAGCCGTAGGGACACGCCGAGCATCTGGTATATGTTGGAAAGGAAAGAATTAAGTTCATAATACGATCCATATTTGTTTTACATTAGAGTGGTAAATGAGCCAACAGTCCAATTGATGGTGGGTGGCCACTGAAGCCTATGGACACCTACAACCAACATTTAACAACACTGGCTACGAATGTAATGTTGCACCTGAGGACTAAGAATGCCAAACTCTGCAATTATATATGCAACGCCCTATAAATCGAAACACAGAAATAGGTGTACTAATACTAGTTACCGTTGCAACAGTTAAGTTCTCCCCCGTAGATTGTTACCGCGCTTGGCAACCTATTATAATTATAGTTATAAGGAAGACGCTGGTGCCCATGTCCAGACTTGTTTCCCTCTGTCACTTCTTACGACACCAACCACGGGGTAGTGGAAATTTTTACACCGCCACTACACGGTAAATACTAGTTTTTAATGAATAGTATAGACAAGACTAATAAAGGCAATTCGAGCGGCCTTTCAGCCTCAAACGGAGATCAGAGTCGAAAATATCCCTGAGTTAGTTTCGTATGGTGAAATCGTAAATACAACTGAAAGATCTTATGGCCTCTCACAGACGGCGGTATAAAAATATTGCATTCCGTGGATGTTGTGATCCATAAACATATACATGTATCCCCAATTAAGAATCAAAATGCAGATGCGTTATCGACCCTGAGGACTAAGATGGATATTCTGGTTTTGGTAGTCATCGATGACCATGTGCCTAAATATATGGATGTGTACGAAGCGAGAAAGGTGTGCCAGAATCGTGCCAAACTTAAGTCCGTAGTCTCTACCCCCCCTCTGGGAAACCATATAGCGCCTGAAGCGTGAGAGTTTATGTATGCATTTATTCTGGTAACCACATTTCATGATGAGATTTGACAGGGAGGGAATGCCACGATGCATTAATTCCGTCCTTTATATCCTTCTTACCCAACTGCCTCGGAAGGAGTGTAATGTTTTTCAAGTGAACTAGTCCGCCGCGCTGCCCCAATGCGTTTTGGCGAACTTCACATGTCTTCGAAATACTTTTTTCTCTTATTCCTCAGACAGGCAAGTTTCCTCACGATGTTTTCCTTCACCGCTGAGCACGTGGTAAACCAATAATTTCATTGGTGTCGGCAGGGATCGAACCCGGGTTACTCGCGTACTGTGAAATTTGCAGCGAGAGCTTAGGTCCTAAGTTACCACGGCTCTTAATGTTTATTGTTTATATGTATGTCTATTTTTTGATACGCTCTGTATGAAATGAAGAATTTTAACATATGGAGCGTCGTTCGATTAGTCTTCAAAATGACATACGATATAAAAAAATCTCTTCTCAATAAACTTTTTTACTCAGTCAGGTTTTCTTTAAATTACGTTTAATAACCGATATCTTTTAAAGTTTGTTGTACACAATAAAGTGTAAATAAATATACAAATAAATACACACCTATGTCCGACGATAGCTTAAGTCAAATAAAGTATGTGAACGGATATAAATATATGTTCAAGGTTAAACGACTGATAAACGTTCAAGTTCTCTAGTGAATAAGAATTGTTTTGTATGATAAGTGGACATTCCCGGTTATAAGAGTATTTACTTACTCTTGTAACGATTAAAATACATAAACATATTGTAATGAATCATTTTCTTCAGACCGAATTTCGGTCTCAACGGAGATTAGCAATCTGAGCAGGAATAGATTATTGTGCACTCTCTATTCACTCACTCTCAAAGTCCAATGGGACCATAGAATACCATAGAATATAATACATACATAATAGAACGGGGGAGTGGGTGGAGCCCGTGTAGCCACTAAAATGTCACTAACATGTCAATTCACACGTATAACTGTCAACACGAGATGTGTTTTGACGTTACAATCGTTTCTAAATTTCACATGCAATTTATTTAGAAAACGCCAAATTGCGCACTATTTACAAATAAATATGGATTAAAATTTAAACGATTTTTTTTAATGATCTTGACCATTAATCAAAAGTCTAAAATGTTTAAATTTACTAAGTCTGCCAACATAGCGATTCGGGTGTGTAGTAGTGATAATAAGACGTAATTGCTTGTATGTGTGCTCCCGACGACGCCGAACCTCGTATAAAATAAGGTTGACAGCCATTCTATTGTGTATTATAGTATTCTATGGATGGGACGGTAAGCTTACACGACCGGAGAAAAGTCAGACAGAAAAACAACGGCTTTAGGTACTTTCCGAGGCACGGTGATAAAACACTGCCAACTTCCTAACTCCATGTTGCTACTGAGAATTTCTTGACAGAAGAACCCGATAACTGATTTTTGGCCCGCCTGGGAATCGAACCCGGGACCTCATGATCAGCAGTCGCGCTTACGACCACTAGACCAATAAGGCAGTCACTGAATATCTCTGAATGGACAATAACTTTTTCATTATTTTATATGTTACAGATAATGTGAATAATAAACTTAACATTATTCGGCTAAACTTAGGTTTAGTTTTGAGCGTAAGCTAATTAACTTTTGTCCTGCTAATGGCCAAATATTCGAAAACTAGTTAATTTTAAGATGTCATTAATTCTTATGGTGTCACAGTCACTTTGACTTAAAAGTGACAGATAAGATCATCTGTCACTTTAATGATTTCTTATATTTACGCGAACATTGCACATGATTAAAACTACTTTTACGGATTTTATCGCGTTTATTTTTTCTTACTTTTTATTTTATTTTTTTTTTTTAATTCCCGACGTTTCGGGCGCTTTCCAGCACCCATGGTCACGGGTGGATTGAAAAGTACTCGGCCTAACACAGATCCATTCAATTCTAAAAATCAAATCTACCCACATTATTTAGTTCAGTCCAGACTAGTTCATTGTGTGAAGTTCGAAACGTGTGCGATAATTAGTTGTGATTTTATAAATTTATTAACAAAGTAATCAGACATAATTTCCGCGAATGGAGCAAATCGAGCAGCGTGCCGTCATTAAGTACCTCCATAAGAAGGGGCTATCATCAAAAGCCATCCATGATGACATGGTCAGTACATTAGGAGATTGTGCTCTGTCATATTCATCCGTCAAAAAATGGATAGCAGAATTTAAGCGTGGTAGAGAGAGTGTGAAAGATGAACCCCGCTCTGGAAGGCCTTCGACGTCAACTACTGACGAAAATATTAAAAAAGTACTTGATTTAATAATGGGAGACCGCAGATTAAAAATTAGAGAGATAGCCGAGATTATAGGCATCTCTTATAAACGAACTCAAAACATCATTGTCAACGAGTTGGGTTTCCACAAGGTGTCTGCGAGGTGGGTTCCGCGACTGCTTTCAGTTGAACAAAAAAGGACGCGATTGACTATTTCACGCGACTGTTTGGAGTTATTTGAAGGCGATGCAGATGATTTTTTTGAATCGTTTTGTTACTGTGGACGAAACATGGGTTCATTACTGTACACCGGAAACAAAACAACAATCAAAACAGTGGAGAAGACCTGGTTCACCACCCCCTAAAAAGGCTAAGTCGATTTTGTCGCAAATAAGGTGATGGCTTCAGTATTTTGGGACTCGAAAGGTGTGATTATGATTGATTATCTTGAAAGGGGTCAGACTATAAACTCCGATTTCTACTGCACCTTACTACGTCGTTTACGAGAGGAAATAAAAGAAAAACATCGAGGAATACTCAGAAGAAAAGTCCTGTTTCATCAAGATAACGCCCGTGTTCACACGTCAGTACAGTCAATGGCTGAAATTCACAACTGTGGCTTTGAAATGTTACCGCATCCGCTGTATTCACCTGATCTGGGAGGTCAAAGATTTTCGACAAACGACGAGGTCAAAGCAGCTGTAGACGCATATTTTGACTCTAAGGAAGAATCATTTTTTTTTCAACGGTCTAAATGCTTGGGAGGTGGCAAAAGTGTATTGAACTTGATGGTGATTATGTAGAAAAATAAAAATATAACTGATTTAGTGTGTGTATGTGTTTATTTTCTTGGTTAGGCCGAGTACTTTTCAATCCACCCTCGTACCAGTACTTTATTTTTACAGCAAAATGTTAAAAAGTACCAAGGTACTGGACAGGCAGCTTTTTGGACAACATTAAGTGATTAAGTGATA